AGCCTACACAACAACAACACAAGAATAATGTTTGAGAGCCCAAGCACTGGTCTTGACGGTAGCTCAGAAAGTTCCACTCAAAAACTGGAAAATGCAACAACTACATGCAGGTTCCACACAGTAAGTAACCACAACTCTCTCATATTGCAGGCTTTAGCTCAAAATTACGAGACATGCCACTCAGAAGTGGAGTAGGATGCTGAGACTTCAGCCGTCACGAGCACGTCATCAATGTTGAACGAAAAAAGGAAGGCCGTGGGTTGCTTGAACAGCTTAGCGTCGATTAATGTCTTGAGGGTGCCGACAGGCGTGTATGCAGTTGTGAGTGCGGCATTTTCTGCAATGGTGCATAAATAATTGCCGCTTTTTGCTTCTAGCTGGAATGTGCACGGAAACTCGGCCACGAGGGCGCCAGAGGAGGAGTTATAGTAGCCGGGAGTGGTGAACGTGGGGGTCGACTCCGCGGGTACCCCACAAAGAGTGATGGCGAAGGAGATAGACTGGACAGTGGCCGTACTGCAAGGAGAGACCAGGAGGGGAGGCGAGAGAGGATTGGGGACGACAGTGAGGATGAGAGCACAACAGAAAATGCAGAGCATGCATGCTAACATCGTTTTGATGATCTTGGCTGCGGCTACCAGTGAGGAGCCTCTTTCTGCGGCTTCAGTGTGAAAGAGTGAATGAGTAGTCAAAAAGATAAGGGAATGTCTACATAGTCAACATGAAAGGAGGTAACCAGCGTTCGGGGTTTTACGCAAAACAACTTGGATAGAATTCAACATGATGTAAGAGACTTACACGTTAGCACTCAACGTGGCCATGCCTCCCAAAACAAAATTAGTAGTGTACAGCTTAGAAAACGCTTTATCTGCGCGTCGCGGAAAAGGGAGAGCAACAAGAAAGGGGAATTAGGCAGATAGAAGGGTCCGAGGTGTTAAACAGGCTAGGCGAAAACGAGAAATAGGCAAAGAGGGGTTTTGACTAACAAGCATAGGGATACATATAGCAAACCCTAGAAGGGCTGTACTCGCTATAGAGTACCCCACTACAGGCTAGACAACCATTACATTCTGACACACCCCCATAGTCAAAGTGGGGTACAATCAACACAACAAGCAGGCAGAGCAGTAGGTTCACAAATACAAGCAAAGCTAGAGGCTATCACAGAGGGCAAGTGAGGAGGAGGAGAAACTGTGGAGGCGAGAAGATGGGAGGCGACGGCTGAAGCTGCAGACACACGGGCAGCAGGAGTGCGCCGCACTGTCGCTACCAGGCTAAACCCGGACTACACGGCGACAGGGGGTCGCAGCTGGCTCGCTGTGCTCCCAGGAGTGCACACACTGTAGCTACCGGGCGCAGAGCCCCGGACTACTCAGGCCACAGGGGGTCGTGGCTCCCTGGACTTCAGGCGCTGCGGACGACAAGTCGACGGCCTCCTCTCAACTTCCCCCAGCTGTCCCACCCCCTTTTCACACACCCCCTTGCTGCACCCCTAGCTCCACTCCCACGACACCCCCCTAGCGCCACTCCCTCGGCTCCCACACACCCACCCCCCTCAGCGGCAGCTGCAGCAGTGGGAGACGGAGAAGGAGGAGGAGGAGGGGACGGCGCACACACCCGGCACCCCCATACCCGCCACCCCCAAACCCTAAACGCAGGCGGCGCGTAGGGGCGGCGTGCGAGCGGAAGGGGGGCGGGGCGCGGGTCCCTGGGGAGCTGCTACGGGCGTCGGGTAGGGCGGCTCGCGGGCCCCCAGGGCGCCTCGACGGGCGACGGGGAGGGGCGCGACGCGCGGGCCCCCAGGGCGCCGCGACGGGCGACAGGAAGGGGAGGCGACGCGCGGGCCTGCGGGGCGACGCGACGGGCTCCTTGGGGCGACGCGACGGGCTCCTGGGGGCGACGCCACGGTCGACGGGGCAGAAAACCGCCGCGCGCCTCGGGGCGCACGGCGGGCAGAAAACCGCCGCGCGTTCGGGGCGCGCGGTGAGCAGAAAACCGCCGCGCACCCCGAGCGCGTGGCGGGAAGAAAAAACGTCGCGCGCCACGGGGCGCGCGACACACAGAACAGCAGCGGAAGCTAACGGGCGGGACCACCCACAGGATCGACCCAGGAGGGTCGACCTGCTCTGATAGCATGTTAAACAGGCTAGGCGAAAACGAGAAATAGGCAAAGAGGGGTTTTGACTAACAAACATAGGGATACATATAGCAAACCCTAGAAGGGCTGTACTCGCTATAGAGTACCCCACTGCAGGCTAGACAACCATTACATTCTGACACGAGGATGACGCGTCAAGAGAGGAGCAACGGAGTTATGGCAGGATAAGCGGAGGAGCATGAACTTGCCCCTAAGTGTATCGAGCGTTGTTGTAGCAGTGCGTACGGAAGAAGAAGATGTGTAGAAAAGGAGAATGCGTCAACGAGAAGAGAGCGCATGCAGTAACATCATGTTAGTACGTCCGACGAGAGTCAGTCGTACAGCGAGTGTCGGTCAGCTGGAGCAGATGGCGGCCGGCGATGGCGCTGCAGGTGAGAGAGAGCAGCACTGTATGCACGGGACGAATGACGAGCAAGACACGAGGAAATTAGGGTTGGCACTTTACACTCGAGCTGTACTAGCCCCTCGGGATGAGAGCCTCAAGGTCTGATCCTGATGTTTTCCGAATAGTTTTTTTTGCAAAATCAGACCAGGTAGAAAAAGGGCGATCAGAATCTACTCACCGGCAAAGACGAACGCGGGTCGCAGCGGTGAGATCTTCGCCATGATGGCTGGTTGGGAAGCTACTATTGCTGGAACTTGAAGGTGACGCCGCGATTTAGGGCCGCACGGTCTGAGTGGAGGCTCGAACGGGCTGATATGAATAGGTGGGCCGACGGAAAAGACGCTTAATGGACAGGCGAGCTAACTACTTGATATAAAGGGAAGCCGCACGTGCAGAGGACAGTGGAGGGATGCTATGTGGTTCCGATGCGCAGCTGTGCGGCATGACATGCGCTGCTACTTGACAGGGAGCGCCATGCGCGGATCGTCGTGTCAGATGCCATCGACACTCGCGGGATACGATCGCGATGTCACGGTCAGACTCTGAGGGTGCCTTGGCCTCAGAACTGGTTCTTGTTTTGTGACGAAACATTTGGCGTGTTGAATAGGCAAAATCGCTACGCTTCTCTCCTATTGCGCCTCCCCTGATGCTCCAGACCAAATCCCCATCTCGCCGCATGTGACTCAGGCAGGCCAAACTGCGGTTTCAGGAAGTTCACTGGGGTGAAGCCTGGAATCTGCTGCCGGCGCGACTCATGCAGGGAGAGACTATTGTTAAACCGTTATGAACCATTATTGAATGTTCTGAAACTTCCGAAATCGTACTGGGAAAATCTACGCACAAGTGCCGGCCCGTGGGGAGGGGACTGTCGAAATGCTAGGCACAATCGAGAAACAGGCAAAGAGGGTTTTGACTAACAAGCATAGGGATACATATAGCAAACCCTAGAAGGGCTGTACTCGCTATAGAGTACCCCACTGCAGGCTAGACAACCATTACATTCTGACACACCCCCATAGTCAAAGTGGGGTACAATCAACACAACAAGCAGGCAGAGCAGTAGGTTCACAAATACAAGCAAAGCTAGAGGCTATCACAGAGGGCAAGTGAGGAGGAGGAGAAACTGTGGGAGCAAGAAGATGAGAGGCGACGGCTGAAGCTGCAGACACACGGGCAGCAGGAGTGCGCCGCACTGTCGCTACCAGGCTAAACCCGGACTACACGGCGACAGGGGGTCGCAGCTGGCTCGCTGTGCTCCCAGGAGTGCACACACTGTAGCTACCGGGCGCAGAGCCCCGGACTACTCAGGCCACAGGGGGTCGTGGCTCCCTGGACTTCAGGCGCTGCGGACGACAAGTCGACGGCCTCCTCTCAACTTCCCCCAGCTGTCCCACCCCCTTTTCACACACCCCCTTGCTGCACCCCTAGCTCCACTCCCACGACACCCCCCTAGCGCCACTCCCTCGGCTCCCACACACCCACCCCCCTCAGCGGCAGCTGCAGCAGTGGGAGACGGAGAAGGAGGAGGAGGAGGGGACGGCGCACACACCCGGCACCCCCATACCCGCCACCCCCAAACCCTAAACGCAGGCGGCGCGTAGGGGCGGCGTGCGAGCGGAAGGGGGGCGGGGCGCGGGTCCCTGGGGAGCGGCTACGGGCGCCGGGTAGGGCGGCTCGCGGGCCCCCAGGGCGCCTCGACGGGCGACGGGAGGGGGCGACGCGCGGGCCCCCAGGGCGCCGCGACGAGGCGACCGGGGGGGGGGGGGGGGGGGGGACGCGCGGGCCCCCAGGGCGCCGCGACGGGCGACGGGATAGGGCGGCCCGCGGGCCCCCAGGGCGCCGCGACGGGCGACGGGAAGGGGAGGCGACGCGCGGGCCTGCGGGGCGACGCGACGGGCTCCCGGGGCGACGTGACGGGCCTGCGGGGCGATGCGACGGGCTCCTGGGGGCGACGCGACGGTCGACGGGGCAGAAAACCGCCGCGCGCCTCGGGGCGCACGGCGGGCAGAAAACCGCCGCGCGTTCGGAGCACGCGGCGAGCAGAAAACTGCCGCGCGCCCCGAGCGCGTGGCGGGAAGAAAAATCCGTCGCGCGCCACGGGGCGCGCGACACACAGAACAGCAGCGGAAGCTAACGGGCGGGACCACCCACAGGATCGACCCAGGAGGGTCGACCTGCTCTGATAGCATGTTAAACAGGCTAGGCGAAAACGAGAAATAGGCAAAGAGGATTTTGACTAACAAGCATAGGGATACATATAGCAAACCCTAGAAGGGCTGTACTCGCTATAGAGTACCCCACTGCAGGCTAGACAACCATTACATTCTGACAACGCCCTGAACATGAGAAGAATTGCTGCTCATTACATTATGAATCAGAAAATGGTCTTAGTAACAGCAATGCCAACATATCAATCCAACACAAAATAACTGGAAATTCTTTTAAAAGACATGCCACTCAGTAGCTGGTCGCAGTGGCTGAGAGAGTCCCCTTTATGGTCGTGACACCGCTAACTTGAACCGAAACAAGCAAGGGCGGGGGACTCTTGAGCAGCCCAGCGTCGATCAGCGCCTTCAAGGTGCCGACTGGCTTGGACGCGTAAGTGAGCGACACCTTTTCTACAACATTGCAGGTATAAATGCTGGTTCTCAGATCCGCCGTGAATGTGCAGCTGAACTCGGCCACTGTGGCGCCAGTTCCGTAGGTGTAGACTCTCGGATTGGTGATTGTTGTGGCTGACGAGACGGGTGCACCTGAAATGCGGATCGTGAAGTTGGTAACTTGGTATGTGGTTGTGCTGCATGGGGAGACAGGGGGTGGGGGGAAGAGAGTGGGAGGGGGGAGGAGAAGGGCGGTGGAAGAGACATTGAGGATAAGAAGACCGTCCTATCATGACGAATGAGAACGCAGTTCTGCACTGCAGGATCATTCATGCTACATGCGGAATGCCTGATAAAGGTGAACATAGTAGGCGAGAAAGAAAGCAAACGTGGTCAAGTGAATATTTACAGCGTGATGTGACGCTTACACGTTAGCGTCCAGCGTGAGCGAGGCAGTCATTTTGCCCGTAGAGGTCATGCTAGACGTTGCGTGGTCTGCACGCCAGCGGGACGGAGATTGGACATCGCGAAAAAGGAAAGTTGCGATTTTGGGGCCCCGAAGGTTTTTCTGCGTCGGCCTTGCGAGAAAGTAACATAATGCAGCGGGAGAGTGACTGGGAAGTTGCTTTGTAAGTGACTGTCGGTATGCAGTTCTAAAACCTTGACTTGAAAGTGCCGGGCAAAATATCATATCGGGAAAGTTGCGAGAGAGTGTATTTTGAGTTGCTTTCCGCACTTCCCATTTTCGCGACGGAGAGCAACGGGAGTAAAGACGGAATCATGGCAGGAAGCGGAGGAGCATAAGGCTGCCCTTCATATATTTAACGTGATGATAGTGCTTAGAGAAAGGTGATGCAGACAAGTAGAGAGTGCTTCGACGAGAGAGTGGTAGCAGCAAGATTAGTCTGCCGTACAGAAAGTGTTGGCAGTTTGGAGCAGATGGCGGCCGGCGACGGCGCTGCAGGTGAGAGAGAGCAGCACTGCACAGGGGTACGTGCACGAAGAGATTAGGTTTGTTAATAAATCAGGCGCTTCTAACCTCTGAATAATTGCGCTGCATCTACTACTAATTGTGATTTCTACTACGGACTTGGTTTTGGGAAAATCATGCAGATTTTGCCGAGCAGATGGCGGAAGCAACTGGGAGTGACCACCCTGACGGCCAGAACTCGTCATTTTCTGCGAATTTAAAACTCACCAGCGAGGACGAACGCGGGTCGCAGCGACATCTTGGCCTTGGCGGCTTTAGGAGGTCGTACTAATAGCTTAAAACAAACGTGATTCCTGTGGAATGGAGGCTCGATCTGGCTGAAATGAGAGTGATTTTTGAAGAAAAGCCCAGGTGGTTTTATAGCTAGAAGAGCTACTCGAGGAACGAGGAGCGCGAGCAAACTCGCGAGCCGCTACGTGCGATGGCTGTCCCAGGTGGCTTTACCATGAAGTACTGGTTCCTGCGAGCCGGCGGTCACTGAGATGAAAAGGCGTGCTGATTAGGCAAACGTGCTGCCTGACTGAGGCAGTCTTCAATTTCCTCCTGAATTCTTCTGATGCTTCAAATCCCATTTCGCGGCATGTGACCGTGGACCACTCCGACAGCATTCAGGTTTTTCGGATGGTACAGTTCGGTGAGGCCAGAATTTGGTTCCGCAATCCATGGCGCCAAGACAGGGTGCTTAGACATGCTTAAAAACTCACAAAACCTCGAGGAACCGTTTAAAAACTCTTCTGAAATGTTTTGAAGCATTCCAAATCATATGTGAAGACATCTGTGATGAGGACTATCTGGTGCTGGGTTTGTCAGAACATCAGGCGCCGCGACTCGCGCAAAACCACATGAAATCACCTGCAGGGGGGAACAGAGTTAGCAACAGTTTTCATTACCAAGAATAAATAAATAAATAAAAACACCACCAAAAAGTGTTAGCAACATTACCGGGGAAAAAAAAAAAACGTAAGCAGCTTCGTTTCATGGGAACCATCATGGTTGGAAATAATTCCGGTATTGGACTGTACAAATTATCATTTATTGGCGAGGCAGCGCCAGACGGCGTGCGAGAGGGGGGCGTCGTCGAGGGGTTTGGAGAGGTAGTCATCCATGCCGACGGCAAAGCACTGCTGGCGCGTGCCGGCAATCACATCCGCTGTGAGCGCAATGATGGCCACGTGCCCCCCGCCCTGAGCCCTCTCCCGCGCTCGGATCCTCCGAGTCGCCTCCAGCCCATCCATGCCCGGCATCTGCCGGTCGTAGAGGGGTGGGGTGGGGGGTGGAAAGGGGAAGTTAAAGGCCAAATGGAGTGTTTGATGGTCCGAGTCGCCTCCAGCCCATCCATGCCCGGCATCTGCACGGGGAGGGGTGGAAGGGAAGGGTGGATAAGAGACCGATGAGAGTGTTAGGAAGAGATAAGCCACCCATGCCTGTCATCTGCACAAGGAGGTGGGGAAAGGGGTACAGAGAGATGAAGATGACGACGGCATGATGCATGGCAGACTAAGCTGAGCCATGAATGTCACCTGTAGTGGAACGGGTGTGTGCCCATCCCTCTAAACACCTGTGCTTGCCCATCCCTCTGAACCACTGTGCTTGCCCATGCCTCTGAACCCCTGTGCGTGCCCATCCCCACCTCCCACAAATCTCCCCACCTCCCACATCTCCCCACCAGCCACACATCTCCCCACCAGCCACACATCTCCCCACCAGCCACACATCTCCCCACCAGCCACACATCTCCCCACCAGCCACACATCTCCCCACCAGCCACACATCTCCCCACCAGCCACACACCTCTCCCTCGCCTCCTCGGCCCACCTGCAAATCCATGAAAACGAGGTCGTAGGGGTGGGGCGGGGCGAGGGCTTGGAGTGCCTTGGCGCCGCCATCGACGGCTGTGACTCGCGCGCCGTGCCTCTCCAGCAGCTTGCTGGCCACCTTGCGGTTCACCACGTTGTCATCCACCACCATCACCCGCCTCCCCGCCAGCACCCCCACCCTCTCCCCCACCGTCGCCGGCTCTTGAGTCGCTGCTGCCGTCGTCGTCACCACTGCTGCTGCTGCTGCTGCTGGTGGGGATGGTGATACTGCTTCTGGTGGAGCTGCTGGTGGGGCTGTCACTGCTGATAGTGATGGTGATCCTGCGTGGGTGACGGCAGGAGAGAGTGTGGCAACGGAGGAAGAAGATGAAGCAGGTGTCAGATCTGCAGGATGAGCGTATGGGGGAGGGAGCCCTGAGATATCGAGCACACTCCCGAAACCACCACCAGCAGCAGCAGCACCAGCAGCAACACAACGACCGCTGCTGCTTCTCTGTTGCTCGCTCTCTCTCCCATGCACCCTCCCATCTTCTCTCCTTTCACCCGCTGACCCGTACTTCGATACCCTCCTTACACTCTTTGACACATGCATCTCTGCCCTACGTTCTGCCACTCCAGCAGCTTCCACTGCACTTCCGCCCTTTACCAAAGCTCGCACGCCCTGAGGCACATAGTGCTGCCATCCCTGAGGCGAATCAGACACCTTTTCCACAGCACTGTTGATCCTCTCCAGGGGCTGCCCTCCCTGCACCACATAGTGCAGCAATCCCTTAGGCGCCTTAGGATGTTCTTCCACAGCACTACGGCTCCTCTCCAGGGGTTGCCCTTCCTGTGCCACAAAGTGCTGGCGATTCTGAAGCGCATCAGAAAGTGCTTCCTCAACACTGCCACCCTTCACCAGAGGCAGAGTGCTGGCGATTCTGGGAGCTCGCACTGCCACCCTTCGCACTCCCAGCACGCCCCTTCCACTCGCAGCAGCCGAGGCAGAAGATGTCAAATTGACATCTGTAGCACCGGCAGCTGGACTCAGATTGACTGAAGCAGCAGCAGCAGCGGCAGCAGCAGCAGGAGCAGCACCGACAGCAGATGTCAAGCTGATCGAAGCAGCAGCAGTAGCACTGGCAGCTGATGCCAAATCCATTGAGGCACTTCTACCATCCATACCACCCACACCATCCGTACCATCCGTACCATCCATGCCACCCATGTCATGCAACACCTCCTCCTGCTCACTCGCTGCCACTCCGTTGCAGCGGCCGCAGATGTTTGGAGCTACCTGCGCTCTGGATGCACCATCAGTGACACTCAGGGACAATGTAGCCAGCTCTTGAGAGAGCCGACGATCGCCAGTAGCAGCAGCAGCAGCAGTGGCAGCAGCAGCAGCAGCGGCAGCAGCAGCAGCAGTGGCAGGAGCAGAAGCAGAAGCAGAAGAGGAAGCAAAAGGAAGAGAAGCAGCAGAAGCACGAGTGGCTGAAGCAGAGGCACCAGCCTCTCCAGAGGTACGGTGAGAGATGCAGTGGCTGGTGCTGCTGATGAGGAGGTGGGGTGCGTCATGCACAGATGGAGGGGCAGAGCTGCCACCACTGGCACTGGGTGGCATGCTTGCAACGCTGCTTGCATGTTTGGACTTGGCAAAATTCCACGTGGGAGTGCTTGGGGTTTCGAAAATGGTGAGAATATTAGGAGTGTTGGGAGTGTTGGGAATGATGTGAGTGTTAAAAGTGGTTGGAGCGGTGGGAGTGGTAAGAGTGATGGCTGGGTGGGAGGAGCTCAAGGGAAAAGATTTGAGTGACGGTGGGGAATTGAGTGACTGGGGAAAGTTGAGGGCTCGTGGGGACTTGAGTTCGCGTGGGGACTTGAGGGCTCGTGGGGACTTGAGGGCTCGTGGGGACTTGAGGGCTCGTGGGGACTTGTAGGCTCTGGGGGACGTCACAGCTCGCCAGAGGGCCGCTGCAGCGCTGCTGCCTGCCTTGTGGAGGGCCGATGGGCTCAGCACCACACCACCCCCCCGCCGCCCCTCCGCCACATCCCCATTCTCAACTCCTTTTCGTCCTGCTGCCTCTGCTGCTCCTGCTCCTCCTCCTACCTGCTCACACTGACCTTGCTCCGTGTCCGCACTAAACAGCGGCAGAAGCGCCGCCAGCAGCGCTGGCTTGCGCAGGGGCTTCCTAATGACAGCATCGAAGCCAAGTGACAATAGCGAGGGGATGGAGGGGGAGGGTAAGAGGGAGGGATCAGGGGAGGGAGATAGACGAGTGGCAGTGGCAGGGATTGGCGTAGAGGGAGAGAGGGACAGAGCAGGAGGCCTGCTCCTGTTGCTGCTCCTGTTGCTGCTCCTGTTGCTGCTCCTGTTGCTGCTCCTGTTGCTGCTCCTGTTGCTGCTCCTGTTGCTGCCTCGGCAGCCTCTCCTTCTATCGTTACAGTCACCCAGCTTATGCTCACAGTTACCCCCCTCTTCCCTTTCATCCTCTTCCCTTTCATCTCCCTTCTGCTTGCCTGTCGTGGCTGCCATCCCTTCCTTCCCTCTCCCTGCCCATACTCTCGTCCCTGCCCCCCTCCGAAGCAGGCTCACATGAGAAGCTGTCCGCGTTATGAGCATCTCTCTTGTGAGGGCTGAGACAGTCAGGAGCGCCGAGGCCTTTGCCTTTCGCAAGAGAGGCGGGAGGGAGAGGAGAAGAGCCGAGGAGAAGCACGAGGAAAGGAACCGGCCAAGTGCACTTGCTACCCCTGCAGGAACAGCAACAAGGCCCACTGCAACTGCTGCAGTCGCTGCTAGCAGCAGTAAAGCTGCTAGGCTGTTGCTTCTCCTGTGCGCCTACAGCTGTTACGCTGGTAGGCTTCTCAGCAGAACACCTGCTCTTGCTGCTCGTGCTGCTCTTGTTGCTCTTGCTGCTCTTGCTGCTCGTGCTGCTCTTGCTGTTCTTGCTGCTCTTGTTGCTCTTGTTGCCGCAGCTCTTCTCTGCTGCACACCTACACGCTCCCTCCTTCCTCCCTTTCTCCCTTTTCCCCCCAACCGTAGTCACGTTCTCTCCCCCCTGACCTGACATGAGAGCATGGATTTGATCTGCTGAGACGCCCAGCCGCTGCATCATCTCCCCCTCCACCACCACTGCTCCCACCCATCCCCGCCTTTCTGCCTCGCGCAAACTCCTATAGTGCACCTGATGCTGCGACCGTTGAGAAATCCTGGAAACGCGTTGCTGCACCTGCACTGCTCCATCCCCCTCCCTTCCTTCCTCCTCTCCTTCCTCCTCCTCCTCCACCTCTTCTTTCTCCTCCTCCTCCCCCTCTTCCCCCTCTTCCGTCTCCTTCTCTCCCTCCTGCTGCCGCCGCCACTGCCGTTGCTGCAGCTGATGCCACGGCTGCTCCTCCTCCCCTCCCCATGCACTTCTCTCACTAGGGGAGTGAACATTGATAAAGAGAGGCGGGCAGGGGCGAGGACGGGCGATGGAGAGAGGCGGGCAGGGACGAGGACGGGCAGTGGAGAGAGGGACACAGGGAGGAGAAGCAGCGGGTGAGACAGCTGGGGAGGAGTACTGGCGGGAAAGTGGTGCGACGGATGGAGGAGCCACAAGCACAGCCGGCGAGCCAAACGGCTCGAGCGGAGGAGCAAACGGGTCAAGAGAAGAGCCAAATGGATCGAGAGAAGGAGCAAATGGCTCGACAGAAGAGGATAGCTCCTCAAAAGGATGACTGGCTGGTCCTGAGTGGGCTTGAGTGCACGTGTCATGGGCTGGTCCTGAGTGGGCTTGAGTGCACGTGTCATGGGCTGGTTCTGAGTGGGCTTGAGTGCACGTGTCATGGGCTGTTCCTGAGTGGGCTTGAGTGCACGTGCCATGGGCTGGTTCTGAAAGCAGAGGGACCAGAGACTGATCATCAGGTGTGGGTCGTGGTGTGGGGGAGGCGGTTATAAGGGCTCCTATGGATCGTTGAAAGGAGGGTAGTGCAAGGCGTGGCAGTGAGGTGTGAGACTTGACGCGGCGGGGAGGAGGGCGAGGGGTCAGAGGAGACGGTTGGTGGGCTGTTTTATGCGCCTCAGAAGTTGTGGGGGAAGCGGTTAGAAGGGATTCAAAGGAGATCTTCGAGGTGGGTAGTGCGAAGCATGACAGAGCAGTGTGAGACTTCACGCGGCGATGATGAGGAGGAGGAGGAGGAGGGGTACGATGAGTTGGTTTGTGAGGTGCTGCTGGTGAGGCTGTGGGAGAGACGGTGTGTGGGGCATGAGCAGGGGGGTCGGTTGTGCGAGTAGGAGATAGGAGGTGAGAGAGGTGGGAGAGGTATGTTGCAGCAAGAGACGGCTCAGAGATTAGTTCAGCCTGCTGCTCAGAGATTAGTTCAGCCTTTGGTTGCTTCTTCTCCTCCTGCTGCTCCGCCTGCTGCTCAGTGGGAGCGTGCGTGGCATGACTCGATAACCCATGGTGCCTGGCATGGCACGGGCCATGGCCCGTCACATCGAATAAGTCATTCTGCATGGCATGGCACGAGACATGCTGCATGGCATGGTGTGGACGTCTGTTATCATGGCCCATGCCAATACACGAGCTATGGTGCAAGGAGCGGTGTTGGGCGAGGAGGCGGGGGAGGAGGTGGAAGGAGGGGCAGGGGAGGGTGCAGATGCCAAGGCGGCGCAGCAGAGAGAGAGTGACGGCATGCCGCACCGGCCGGTCGTCCACACTCACCACACACATACCGCCTCCCTCTAGCCCACAAGCAGGCCGGTCGTCCACACTCACCACACGCACGCCCTCCCACCCCTGTGCTGCAGATCCATCATCCCCATCACTACCACTCCTACCACTCCTACACTCTAGCCTTCTGCCTCTCTGCTGCTGCCCCTGCTGCTGCTGAAGCTGCTGGTGGGCTGTAGTTTGTGGGGTCAAGTGAAAGGGGCTTCGAGGAGGAGAAGAGAGGATGCAGGGTGTCCTAGAGGGGATGCTAGATGGGAGGGAGGCTGGGGATGTAGCAGGCAGGGGAAGGGGGAGGGAGAGAGAGGAGGGAGGCTGGACGGGAGTAAGAGGAGTGTGGGGTTGGGGAGGAGGAGGAGAGGGAGGAGGGTGAGGGAGAGGAGGTGCGTGGAGGAGGATGTCGAAGAGGAAGGTGGTGCCAACGCCTGGCTTGCTGACGAACGAGATGGATCCGCCCATCAGTGACACCAGGCGCTGCAGGGGGGCGGGGAGTGGGAGGGGCAAGGGAGGGGGGTGGTGTGAGGGACAAAGGGGGGGAGGTGGGAGGTGGAAGCGGCAACACAACGTACCTTACAAGACAGCCGTCACAACACAACACACCTTGCAGATGGCGAGGCCGATGAAACGCACCTTAGATGCACCTTAAAGCCCGATTTGACACATTCAATGACGCACTCCCGATGCATCGCATCTAGCAGATAAGAGGCCAAGGCAGGTGTCCAGATGCAGTGCACCTTGCACAGCAGGCACCCAATACATCGCACCTTGGAGATGGAGAGCGCACCTTGCAGATGGAGAGCACACCTTGCAGATGGAGAGCCCGATGCCCGTGCCTCCATGCAGCCGTGCTGTGCTGCGCTCTGCCTGCGCGTACGGCCGGAAGATGTGCCTCCGAGCGTGGCGGGGGATGCCGGTGCCTGTGTCTTCCACGGCCACCAACAGCCGCACGGGCTGGTTGGGTCCCACGACGCCACGGCCACGCTCATTGCCATTCCCATCAACCTCCCCATCGCCATGCCCATCGCCACACCCATCGCCATGCAAATCGCCACACCCATCGCTATTACCACACCCATTGCCGTGCCCGGTATAGCTCGCCTTGCCCATGCCCACTGCAGCAAGGTCCATGTGCTCCTGCATGCCCTCCCATGAACACCACGTCTTCATGGCTGGTATGCCACTCAGTGTGAGACATGCAGGTTCAGTAGGTGCCTCCAAAATGGTTTTACTGCCGCCACTAGCACCCACACCACCAGCAGCAGTGGCCACACTGCCACCCATGCAGGCGTTGCCACCAGCACCATCATCGATCTCATCCCCAGCAGCACCTTTCCTCCTTTTCAATGCAGCAGAGGCAGCGGATGCTGGTGCTGATGCTGAGGAAGTGGAGGAAGAAGGGGAGACCAGCGGCGGAGGGGCGGGGCTGCTGTTGGTATCAGAGTTGGTGGTGTTTTGAGACGTCTTAAGACTGCAGTTGGTGTCGGTGGTGGTTGCGAGGCGCACAGCAATGAAGATATGGCCCTTGGTGGTGAACTTGAATGCGTTGCTTATGAGGTTTATGAGGATCTGACGCATAGGAGAAGAAACACACACAGACACACAGAGGCGCACGCGCGCCACACACGCACACATGCGCGCGCGCGCGCACACACACACACACACACACATACACATGCATGGAGCAGGGGCATTGGACGTGAACTTGAGGGCGTTGCATGTGTGAGAAGGGGAAGGAGCAAAGACCGTGATGAATTTAGGAACCCAGCCCAAGCGGCTCCACAAAAGGCCATGCCCCTCCCATGCACCCGACCCTGCCATGCACCCGACCCTGCCATGCACCCGACCCTCCCATGAACCCGACCCTCCCATGCACCCGACCCTCCCATGCACCCGATCCTGCCATGCACCCGACCCTGCCACGCACTTCACCCCCTGCCATGCACCTGACCCTGCCATGCACCTGACCCTGCCATGCACCTGACCCTGCCATGCACCTGACCCTGCCATGCACCTGACCCTGCCATGCACCTGACCCTGCCATGCATCTGATGTTGCCAAGCACCCATCCATGACCCTATAAGCACCTGCCCCTTCTCTTCTTAGCACAAGATTTTGCCAGAAGACCTGCACTGAGGATCCTCGATTGATCTTACGGAATGTTGCAGGTTTAGAACCGGAAGGGGTTATAGGTGTACTCTCCCGTTACTTAACAAACTCTTTTATCCTAGTGGTGTACTGTGTGGGACTCTGACATGGTATCAGAGCAAAGGTGTTGTGTTCGAATCCCCTTGTGTGCAAATGCTGGTGCCCATGTATCCCTGCCGTTGTGTCGTGTCCTAGGGCATCCCAGTGACGGGGTGTCAGACGACCTGCACTGTGGATTCTCGGTTAATCCTAGGAAAGGGTAACAGATCAAAAGTCTGAAGACTAATGAGCGCACTCATCCGTTACTTAACAAACGTTTTTATCTCAGCGGTGCAGTGGATGGGATTCTGACAGATTCAACCGGAGCAGATCCTTTGTGACCGCCTCAGGCACGGCACATTGTCATTGGAAAAAAAAAAAAAAAAAAGGCAAGCTCCATGAGGTGCTTATCCTCAGCGTCATCCAGCTTGTCGTACCCTGACCATTCCAAGCACCTGTCGTTTCTAAGCACCTGCCTGCCCCTCAACGCACCTGCTTCACCCGAAGCGGATCCCCCACGAGCATTTCCGGCACGTCATCGGCGACAAATGCCGCAAGCTCCACGCAGCGCTTCTCCTGGGCACTCTCGACAAACAGCGCAAGCACGTCGTCAAGCTCGGCTCGAAGATCAAGGGGAATGCGCTCGAGGCGGAGCTTCTCGGCCTCGATCTTGGAGAGGTCGAGAATGTCGTTGATCAGCGCACACAGCGCCCGCCCGCTGCTGCACGCCATCTCTGCGTAGTCCTGCTGCGACCTGTCTAGAGGGGTCTCCATCAGCAGATTCAGCATGCCTGGTGGGAGGAGGAGGGGGGAAGCAAAGGAAGAGAGAGGGGGGAAAATGAGACAATAAGTCCAAAGTGGTTTCTGCTAGCAGATTGTTGTATGCAAATTCACTTAACACAGAGTTACATCCTTACCACGTTATTCCATTACCATGTTACCACGTTACCTATAACGCCATTCATGGGCGTGCGGATCTCATGCGACATCGTCGTGAGGAACGCGCCCTTGGCTCGGCTCGCCGCCTCGGCCACCAAGCGGGCGGCACGCAGCTCATGTTGGGCGGCAACTAGTTGTTGACAGTCAGACTCAAAGGCGTGCATGAGTTGGATGCTCGTCCAGAGGAGGATGGTGGAGACACTGAGGAAGAGCACAGCCATGATGATCCAGATGAACGGGCCGAACTGCTTGGTGTATGCGATGTGCCTGTGGTGCGATGGGGGGTGAGAGGTGGGTAGGAGGGTGGGGAAGAGAGGCAGGGAGGAAGAGGTGCATGAGGAAGAGGGAGAGGGGTTTAGTCGACATGAAACTTGGTCTGTAGTAAGATGGGAGGGATGCATGCACATCGGCATGTGTCCCGCGCGCATCTACGTGCATAAGCGAGTATACATGTCGCTACTTGGATGCATGTATTCATGGAGACATGGATGCATGATGCATGGAACATGCATGCATGTTTGTCTAATGCATGAATGGCTCTATCTACCTACTCACGCATGTGTATGCATCTACATGCATCCGCATGCACACATCAACTCACTCGCAAAAAAGATAGAACTTTCTCGTCGGGTCACCCATGTGCAACCTCCGCCGCACTCTCCCCCCTTCCTCCTGCCCCTCCCCATCCATCATCCACGCTCCTATCTCCTCCTCGCCCACCACCCCCTCATGATCAAATAGCAGCGCAGGCAACCACTTCCCAGCCTTCCCATCCTCGTTCCTCGCACCATCCCACGCCCCGCCCCTCGTCCCATCGACCACATAAACCCTCGCGTTCAGCTCCACCAGCTGCTGAAACCCCACAAGGGACCGCAGATTCGCAAAGTTGTACCCCGCAATGACAAACCCCCGTGGAAGCACCCCGGGAGTGGCAAGCGGAGGGATGGCGACGGAGGGAGGGGAGGGCGAGGGGGGCAGGGCGAAGGTGGTGCAGTTGGAGTAGACTGGGAAGACATCTCCAATAAAGTGGTAGGGATAGTTGTCGCGCATGAAAGGCGAAGACATGGCGGAGGACGCTGAGTCGATGGCCCGGTGGAATGTGTGGTTAAAAGGTGGGTCTGAAAAGGACAGTGGGAGGAAGTGGGATGCGGTGGGAGGAAGTGGGATGCGGTGGGAGGAAGTGGGATGCGGTGGGAGGAAGTGGGATGCGGTGGGAGGAAGTGGGATGCGGTGGGAGGAAGTGGGATGCGGTGGGAGACAGCATGTAGGGAAGGAGGTCGGAGAGTGGGGGGGAGAAGGGGGTGACTACTCAAGAGATTGCCAGAGGCATTGCGGAGGAGGCTGAATTAATCGATGGCCCGGTGTTTTGTATCTTCCACCGCTGGGTTTGAGATGGGCAGTAGGAGGCAGCGGGAAAGGAGGAGGGAAAGGGGGGGAATGATTCTTAATCTTAAACATGCCTTGGGGACATGGAGAAGGAGGCTGAGTGGGTAAATGGCCCGGTGTAAAGTATCGTTCAACAATGTGTGTGAGAGGGGTGGTGGGGGTAGGGCAAGAAGGACCGGGGACGGGGAAGTGGGGTTAGGGGATGGGGCTGCGGCAGTAGTGTGGGTTATAATTAGCCCCTTCAACGAGGATAACAGGAGTGTGCAAGAGAGCTCTTTTATTTTTCGGGAACAAACCTCGAGGACTGCTCGCTTTGCTTCTTGTTTCTTACAAGCCCCACGAGAGCTGCTGCTTCCCACAGGCCTTCATGAAAGCGGCTTGATGCCTTACCAAACGGAGATGAATTTGTTTTGAGATGTCTCAAAACAAATACGTCTTCACGTGGCTTACCAGAAGATTAAAAGAACAGATAAATAAATAAATAAATAAATAAATAAATAAATAAATAAATAAATAAATAAATAAATAAATAAACAAACAAACAAACAAACAAACAAACAAACAAACAAACAAACAAACAAACAAACAAAAGAATAAATAAATGAAAATCTCCAACTGGGAATCGAAGAGCAGCCTCACTGGCCCGGCCTTTCCACTCACTTGCCATGAGGTCGTTGCAGCAGACTGCAGAGAGGTTCACGCGCGCATTAAACTCCTTGCGAGCGTTGAAGATGACAACCGGTGCGTACAGGGGCAGGTCACGCGGGCGGCAGGAGAGCGTGCCGTTGGGCTCGGGGGCGAAGATGCAGTGGTTGGAGATTCCCTCCACCATATCACGAACGAACGTGTTGTTGATGAGCAGAACGAAGCCCACGACTGCAGGGGACACAGGGGGGCAAGGGGGGGAACACAAAAGGGCAACAGGAGGAACTGTGAGGAAACGTGGGGAACACAGGGGGGGAACAGCACAGGAGAGCGTGCCGTTGGGCTCGGGGGCAAAGATGCAGTGGTTGGAGATTCCCTCCACCATATCGCGAACGAACGTGTTGTTGATGAGGAGAATGAAGCCCACGACTGCAAGGGGACACAGGGGGGCAAGGGGGGAGAACACAGGGGGGGCAAGAGGGGGGACACAGAGGGGGCAAGGGGGGGGACACAGGGGGGCAAGGGGGGGGGACACAGGGGGGGCAAGGGGGGGGCACAGGGGGGGGGGGGGCAAGGGGGGGGACACAGGGGGGCAAGGGGGGGGACACAGGGGGGCAAGGGGGGGACACAGGGGGGGCAAGGGGGGGGAACACAGGGGGGAAACTGGAGGAACCCAGCGGGGAAACAGCGGAACATATCACATGCAACTTACATGATGCCATGGAGCATATCACATGCAACTCATATGATGTTAGAATAATTTTCTAATTGTAACCTGCATCTATGCTATAAGGTTTGGTTAGAGATAGGCACCCAAACTTAGTTTGGGTGTACATCTAGGGATAACCCCATTTTGGGGTTGGAACCCAACGTTGGTCCAATTATTCGCCCCTAAAGATTGGGTTGGGAAAATTATTGGTCCCCCCCAATAATGTTGATCCAACTCAGGTTTTGCCAACATTATTGGGACCCCCCAATAATATCCCAACCAAACTTATTGATGGGGGGCCAATAATGTTGGTCAGGTTCCCATCCCCCCTCCTTATAGCTCCAACTATGTATGATGTCACACATGATGCCATGGAGCATATCACATGCAACTCACATGATGCCATGGGTCGGCTGTCGAGAGTAGCTTGAGTGAAGCGTTGGAATTTGGACACGTCAAGTAAGTCCTCCTTCACGCTGTTTGCGGAGAGGGGGGAGGGGGGGGGGGGGGGAGATGCCAGTGTCGTGTGCCTGGCGCCAGTTGGCTTTGAGAATTCTCATGAACCAACGAGGAACCGTGGTGGAGTGAAGTGAAGCTGGTGCGGGCATGAAGAAGGAGACTCGTTCCCAGCTGTGGACTGTGGAGGAGTAAAGCAAGCACAGGGAGATTAGGCGAAGCGACGCAAAGCAAAGCACAGGAAAGCAAAGCACAAAGCAAAGCAAAGCAAAGCAAAGCAAGCAAAGAAAAGAACACACACAGCTGACCATTCTTAACAAGGTAAGGTAGTAGGCAAGGCAAGGATGAAATCAGCATTAAAACACTTTTGGGAATTCTCAAAAATGAAATCAACACTAGAACACTTTTGAGAATTCTCAAAAATGAAATCAACACTAGAAACAGAACTTGTAGCACAGGATAAGCGAAGCAAGCCTCTGGCTGCCCTTACTTATCAAGGTAGTAAGCGCGGATGAAATCGGAAATGGAGCGTGTGTTGGCAGCCGTGATGTTGAACTTGGCTTCAATGAACGCCCCCCACTCTTCGCAGTGCCCCTCGAGGTCGTCCCTCTCAGTCGCCTGCGCGTGCTGCCACGCCACTGTGAACACCAGCGACAGGATAGCCGCTGCTGCCAGCACCCACACCCACAGCACTCGCTGGGAGGGGGAAGGGTGGGGGTGAGGGGGTTGAGGGTTACGGGGGAAGAGGAAAAAGGGAGAGCGTTAGTATGGGAGGGACGGTGAGTAGATAGGATGGGTGCTACTACCACCCAAACCAACAGCACTCGCTGGAAAGGGGACGGGGAGGAAGGGGGGAAGAGGGTGTGACCGCAGGAGAGACGGTGAAAATACAGGATAGCCACTAGCTCCACCCACACCCACAGCACTCGCTGGGACGGGGGACGGAGGGTGGGGGGAGGGGTGTGAGCAGGTGAGCAGGAGGGGACCTGAGAAGCAGAAGGGGACCTGAGAAGCAGGAGGGGACCTGAGAAGCAGGAGGGGACCTGAGAAGCAGGAGGGGAACTGAGAAGCACGTTACTATGCGTGCCGTCCCTCTCATCCCACGCGGCCGTCTCTCTGCCATGCTGTCGCAAACACCAGCGACAGGATGGCCGCTGCTAGCACCACCCACACCCACAGCACTCGCTGGGACGGGAGTGGTCGGGGGGGGGGGGCGAGGGGGAGGGAGGGTATAAAAGGGGAAGGGAGGAGGGGGAGGGCGAAGGGGGAGGTTGGGAGGAGGGGCGTGCGAGCGCAGAGGGGGGAAGCAGAGAAGCACGTGGCTGTGCGTTTGGTCCCTCTCATTCGCCTTCGCGAGCTTCCATACCGTCGCAAACACGAGCGACAGGATAGATAGCCGCTGCCAGCCACACTGCGCACGGCGTACGGAAAAGGGCATTACGCATGGCGTACGGATCAGGGCATGTCAAAAACACAGCGCAGGGCTTACGAATCAGAACATTACGCACGGCATACGGATCAGAATAATACGTACGCACAGCGTACAAATCAGAATACCACGCGCGGCGTACGGATTACGCACGGAAAAGGTTCGGCCAGCACACACACACACACAGCACGCCATACTATTCACGGCGTACCCTGCGCCACGGGTGGCTGAGGCGACTAAAATATCAACCTCGGCAACACACACACACACACACACACACACACACACACACACACACACACACACACACACACACACACACACCACACCACACCACACCACATCACACCACACCACACCACACACAGCACGTGCGTACTATCCACGGCGTACCCTGCGCCACGGATCGCTGAGCCGTCTGAGCGGCCACGACACGAACCACTCCACACTCGACAACCACGACTCCCTCACATGCTGCCCTTTTGCCTCTTCCGCGATCCCCTGTTCCGCAACCCCCTCTTCCGCCACCGATTCCGCCAGCATAGCCATTTCCGCCTCGTATTCCCATCCGCGGAATTCGTACCCGCCAACGCCAGACGCATTCCCCTCCGCCCTCTCCGCCCTCCCTGCCCCCTCCGTCCACTCCGCCCCCTCCGCCCACCCCGTCTCCTCTGCCCCCTCCGCCCGCTCCGCCTCCTCCGCCCAATCCGACGAATCAAGATCGCTCCTATCGTCTCTCATACTCTCACTCGCGCCTTCCCTCCCCTCTACTCTTGGCTCCTCCTCGCCGTTAACCCTGTCGCTCTCCTCGGCCGACTCGGCATCGGATGCGCATGATGCGCCATTGCCATCGCCGCTGAAGCACGACAAGTCGCCAAATTTCTTATTCGACTCAAAAATCTCCCTGTCGGGCTCCTCGGCCGATGCGCATGATGCGCCATTGTAATTGCCGCTGAAGCACGACAAGGCGGCAGATACCCCTGCCTGCGCGGCGCGTACGCCGGCGAGACGATGAAACGGTGACGTGGCAAGACCGGACGGATCGTAATCTACTTCCAGATCTCCTGCCTGTGCACGAGGGCTCGAGACATGACATGGGGACACGACACTATCAGACGGATCAGAGGCAGCCGTCAAAGACGGCGGCATTCGCGTGGTTTGTTTATGAATCTCTAAAGGTCGCCGTTTCTGCTGTCGGCTCAGAGACGGGTAACAACCCCCCAGATCGTAGTGTACTACCTCGTCTTGCCCCGTCAGTAAGCCTTCGCAGTCCTCCTCCACTTCTAAACCCCCGTTTGACGACGCGGCTCGATTCGCGTCATAAGCTGCCGTGACGGTGACGGAATCTGTCAATAATTTATCGTTCGGACTCCGAACAGAGCTGTCTGAGAGAACAGAGGTGTTTCCGCTTAGCGTTTCGAACCCGTTTAGATGCCTTCTCAAGCGAGCTGGTTTTCCGGTGCGATCCATAATGCAGTAGGCACACGTGATACGACATGCAAACGCAGCAAAAATCAGAGGAGCGCTGAATGATAGTAAACATACCGTAAGAGGCCCTTGAAATGTCAGGAGGGACAGCCGATTCTTTTGCAGATGACGCGCAGCCCTGGCTCGCGAGATATGGGAGAAGCTTGAGGAACCCCGATGGAAGACACTGTCAGCGTTCATTTAGCGCGGTCGACTACGTTTGAGAGCGGTGCTCAACTACCACCGTTTTATACCATTTCGCACTAGAACCTACACATACAAGCCGACCTTCGTCGGAAATTCGTGTATCGTGATACGGCAAAGGGGTTGGCCATTCACGACACACACACACCACCGTCATTTGATCACTGAGAAAAAAGGTTTTGGGTGCGGCTGGTTTTTATAGGAAGCCACCACTCTGCTGTACTGCACAAAAATCAAGGGGTCTATTCAACACGGCTTTCGAGGGTACGCAGAATATTCATTTATTACAATTGTAGCACAGATTTCGAAACGGCCCGCAGCGACAAGTCCACTGCCAAGCCCAGGGTTCTACAGTCTGAAGGGCACCTCGTTTTTGGAAACAGTTCAAGGAACACTACACGACGATACATTGCGCACTAGATTCCAGAAGCCGATTGCTCACAGTTCCAGAGGGCAAGGGGAAGAAGCTAAAAACTGGCAACAGTAACTGGGGGCACCTTGCTGCGGTTAAGGTTAAGGTTATATTATGGTCGTAACCAATGAACAAACAGACATAGAGCATGCAGGGAATATGGGAAAAAAAACCAACTGCCTAGCAGGAGTACGTAGTAAAACACGTTATTCCCTAATCCCAGGAGGGATATCCACCTATAGCAAGATGGAGCGCTCTATGAAGTGGGCGCGAATTATGGAGGGCTGAAGGGGTTCCCGAGGAGCCAGGACACGCGTAAGTCTGGGTGGATAGAGGGGGCACCATTGGAGTCAAAGTGGATGAAGCGAAGGCGGGAGGCGGTCTTGATGCGCGAGGTAGACCGTTGTTGTTTTTTCCGACCTTGCTTGGCCCGTCGCCACATGAATATCTTGAAGGCGATGAGAAATTGGGCAAGTATGAGTTGAAGGGTTTCAAAATGGGACGACGTTGAGTCGTGAAACTTCCGTTCATATCTTGCGTTCCAGAGAGTCTTAGCGGCTGCTCCAACTAGCAGACTCCAAGGGACTGATTGTCCTGGTCGAGAGTTAAGGGGAAAGAGGAGAAGCTCCGGAGAGGGGGAGCATCCGAGGTGGCAGTTGGCGACGTTTCCGAGAACGGTGATAACGACAGGGGCGGGCCTGCAGCAGAAGAAGATGTGGGAGAGTGTTTCGATTTGGGTAGAGGTGCAGAATTGGCAGCGTCCACGGTCTGCTGCAAACTGGAAGCGAGCCCCCGAGGGGAGGGAGCGGGTGTAAAAACGAAAGAGGAGGTCCCGTTGCAAGCTGGGTTGATCACAGAGGAACTCATGTGAGAGATTGGGGAGAAAAGGAGGAGGAGCAGCAGAGAGGGCGCGGGTCCAGCGAAGATCATGGTCTAGAGGTTGCTGCGAGTATAGCAGGAGGCGGAGGGATGCGAGACTTGGAATACCTTCTTGAAGTAGCTCCAGCCGTGCTCCTAGACCTGCACCTGTATGAAGTGGTCCTGCCACCCAGCGACCCTGGGTGTGCACAGCCGTAACGTCGTCTATGTGAAACGTGCCGGACCCAATGGAAGTGCGCTCAATGAGTCGGTTCGGGAGGACCCGATATAAACGCATAGAGAGTGTGTGGGGAGGGGTGAAGGAGATAGTTTGTAAAGCCAGCGTGGGTGGAGAGTGGAGGTCGCAGGTCGGGATAAACCAGTCGCCAGGGGAAGCGGAGGGAGGTGGCGGACTGCGGAGTGCAGCTAGCCAAGAGGGGGGAATGGCTGCAATGAGGTCTCGCAAAACGCGACGGCCAGAGGGGACTACCGATGGAGGGAAGGTTTTCGCAAAAGCGTTTGTGGAGATAGGTTCGAGGCCTTGAAATGAGGCTGTGAAAATGTGGCCCAGCCGGATCTGGCGGAGAAGGAGAAAACGTTCTTTTTTTAGGAGGCCGAAGGGTTTTCCATTGGGTTTTAGGAGGAATCGGTTAAATGCGGTGGGTTCTCCAAGGAGGCATAGCGGGACAAGTGGGGGGGGTAAGACGGCAGGAGCAAGGGGCAGCAGAGCACGAAGTTCTGCAAGGGCGCGAGAGGGGATGGAGGGAGGCAGGACGTTGTTTTTAAGAATCGCCGGGTGGGCGAGGAGAGCATGAGTGCCGAAAGGTAAGGGGACGGCTGTCCGCGCGACCTCTTCTGAGGGCGACGCACCAAAGCGGCGAAGCGCGCGTTGGATGGAGAGTGCGCGAATCTGCGTTGAGGGGGCGATGGCGCCGAGTCCACCGTGACGAGGGGAGTTGTAGAGGAGCCGGTTGGGGATTAGCCGGACCGCAAGGCCGGACTCCTTGTAGCGAGAAGAGGAGAGAAAGTTTCCGATTGCGACGTCAAGGCGAGTGACGACTTCTGTAGGGGCAGGTTGGAACCGGCCAGGGAAGGACAGAGTGGAGTTGAGGAAGACAGATGCGAGGGTTTTTCGACATGTGGCGGTTGCCCGAAGGGATGCAAGGTATTTGGAAGCGCGCTGTATGCGGTCAAGTGTGGTAGTCCATGTGGTATTGCCTGGTTGGCTTTGTTCAATAAAAATGCCGAGAATGCGTTCGGCTTCATGCGGAGCGCGAATGGGAATGGGTCCGGCACTTGAGATAAGGAGGGGGGAGATGTTGAAGGGAATAATAGAGCATTTGTTCCAGTTGGGAGTTTCGCCAGACACAGCGGCGAAGATCGATAGATGATCGACGGCAAGACCAAGATCATTGTTGGATGAGAGGAAGAGGGTAACATCATCTGCGTAGCAGGCCATGAGACGGCGAGTCGCGGGAGCGAGGGGGAAGCCGGGAAGGTAGAGGGACATGTATCGGTGGAAAAATTCGATGACGCAAACGAATAGGAGAGGAGCAAGGGGGCAACCCTGGCGAACTCCTGAGCGAACCGGAAATAGTGGGCCCGAGAGGTTGTTGACGGCAATGCATGTAGCCGTGTTAGAGTACATGAGGCGTACCCAGTAAACAAATTGTGGCGGGAGGCCGAGGTGGGAGAGGGCTTGAAGGAGAAAGGGGCGGTTGACGAGGTCATAGGCTTTGCGGAAATCAACCGTAAGGGCAATAAGCGGGGTTTGTTTGTACTGTGCCCAATCCATAATATCGAGGGTGTCATTGATGGTGTCCCCGATTTTCCGGTGTTTGATGAAGGCAGTCTGCGAGGGATGAATTAGAAGCGGAAGTACCCGTTGTAGACGGTTGGTGAGGCAGAGCGCTAGGATCTTGTAGTCTGCGTTCATAAGGGTAATTGGACGGAGGTTCTCCGGTAGCGTAGAGTCACTTTTCTTGGGAATGAGGACCGTGCGGCCGGAGAGCATAGACGGAGGCAACGTTGAAGGCGTCTGCTGTCCCAGAAGGGAATGGAAAGCGGGGGTGAAGCGGGGTCTGTACAGACGGAAGAGTTCTCCTGGGAGGCCATCAGGGCCGGGCGTTTTTCCTCGGGAGAGCTGGCCGAGAGCCTTTCCGATCTCGAGGAGAGAGAAAGGGGCTTGAAGCGTGTGAGCTAGAGGATCAGGGAGGGAGGAGCGGGGAATGTGCTGCCAGAAGGACGGGTTATGAGTGACATTTGAGGCGCCGGAATATAAGGTTTGGAAGTATCGGGTGCATTCCGCGGTCATAGAGGGGAGGAGGGAGGTGGTTTGTCCGTTGGGTAGCGTGATGGAGGAGATGAGTGAGGCTTTGATGCGGGAGTTGAGCCCAGCAAGAAGGGAGGAGATGCCCATCTCTCTATGCCCTTCAACTTTGAGCTTGGCTTTGAGTGCGAGTTCAGCGGTTTTGGAGGCTTCGTATTTTGCTAGTTGTTGGCGCGCGTTGCATAGGCGGGCGGCGTCATTGCTGCACAGAGGCAAGCAAGCGGCTTGGATTTGAAGGCGGCTGATGAGGTGCTTGAGGTGCTCCATGGTTCCAGTAACACGTCGTCGCTCCTGGTTGGAGAAGCACTTGAGGCGGAGGGTCAGGTGATTCTTCCACAGGTCCCACTCTTGCGGAGACGGGAAAGGGGGTAAAAGAGGCAGGTGAGTGTCCAAGATGCGGGCTATGTAGGGCCGTTGTAGGATAGAAGGGCTGAGTCTCCAAGGGCGGGGGGCCATCACAGGGTTGGTGAAGGCGAGTGAGCATAGAGGGGCGAACGAATGATCCGAGACAACGGTGGGGGTGAGGAGATATAAAGAAGCCTTAAGACGTGGAAGGAAGGGGCTGGAAATATAGATTCGGTCAAGTCGGGCAGCAGGTGGAGGCGGGGGAGGAGAAATATTGAGGCGCGGGCGGCCGATGTACGAGAATAAAGTAGTGGTGGGATGGAGGGACCGAAAAGAGTCGGATAACGAGTGCGAGTTGAAGAGGGTCTCAAGCAGGCATGCTTCGCTTCGTTCGTGTCCGTGAAGTGCACGGTTGCGGTCTTCAGGGAGGACAATAGAGTTGAAATCGCCAGCGAGGATAGTGGCAGTAGCCGCAGAGGGGGCGTCAAGGGCAGGGGTGAGAGTGGATCGCCACCAAACCCGCCGTTCGGTAGCGTGGGGGGGGGCGTAGATAGCGATCAGTCGGAGTTGGTCATGTAGGAAGTTGAGATCAACGGTAAGAAGTCGCCCGTCAGGTGAAGGGACTGCCGAAGAGATGGTGATTGCTTTGTGGAAGGAGAGAATAGAGATACCGCCTCGAGGGGGGCGGGATCTCGAGGTAGTGCCTGGGGGGTAAGTGGCGATTGCATGAGCCGTTGAGTGTGGCCGGAGTCGATGGGCCAATTTTGGGATGTTAAGGATAAGTCGTGTGTCGACTAGCACAAGGATGTCGGGTTTATTGCGGCGCGAGGAGATCCAAAATTTCAACCGTTGATTTTGTGAGGAGCATTAATACCATTGATATTGAGACAGAGAATATTGAGGCGTGTTATCATGGCGATAGGTTGGGGGCCCATCGTGCACAAAAGTGCACGTATCCACTGGGCATATGAGTAAAGATAGGAGTCACATGGTGTTGTTGGGTTATTGCCAGTCTTTCAAGCGAGCAGCGAGTTGTGTGCGTAGAGGAACAGGGATTTAGGCATACAAATGCAAGCGGGGTTTCATATCCATCATAGCAGAACAGTATGGGTTCTCAGAGAGCAAGGCGTAGGCCACGGAGGGCCTAAGGCTAATCAGTTCTGCTGCGCAAGAAAGGTAGCAATCGGGGGGAGGGCGATGAAGGTAAGCGCCCTCCAGTTGCTGTATTTTTCGCAGCAGCGCGAAGGTTGGTAGCATGGGGCTCGGAAGCCAGGTGGGCCATTGCTGAGTCCAGCGCGGGACCGCAGACGAAGTTGCAGAGGGCGCAAGTCCATGGCTCGACGTATTCGTCGAGCCCGATGAAGAGAAGACCCGGGTCCTTGCGGAAGGCAGTGGGGGCGGGGCGTGCCCCGATGATTTGGCCTGAGGGGAGGTGAGGGTGAAGCAACGGGGGAAGGAGGACAGGGGGCGAAGTGCGGATGTTCCCAAGGGAGAGGAGGGGGAAGGGGAGAGTGGGCAGAGGGGTGTGATGTAGGAGAGAGGGGGGGGGGATGTGCTGCAGGTGAGAGCAGACGGACAAGAAACAGGTGCCAAATCTTCACAAGCGGTTCAGAGATGGGAAGCAGGGCATGGGGGGGGCAGGGAGGGGGGCGGCGAGGAGAATTCCATAAATGTGCGACAAGGCAGAAAGGGAGGGAGGCAGCAGCAAAGGGGGTCAGACATCCGAGACAAAGGTGGGGCCGTGGGGGGCGAAGACAGAGGGGGGCTGGTGTGAGAGTTTGGGGCAGGAAGGTGGGGTTAGAGGAAAAGAGAGAAACTGGGGGCAGCAGCAAGCGAGCCAGTAAGGGGTGGGCAGAGGGGGCGGAGGAGGGGTGGATGAGGGAGGGAAAGGTCATACCATTAGTCTGTTGCAGGTGCGCAACAGAAATTTGGACCTTGTTGTTCAGGCGTTGCTTGCGCTTGATGGGGAAGATCTCGTGGTCCCCGTCGCGATGGTTATGCCCACAGAGGCCGCATTTGTGAGAGGAGATGTTGAGCAGGGCGGGATCGGAGGCATCCTCAAAGGGGATGACAGCGGGAATGCGGGAAAAGGAGGGATCGTCCGGGGGGGGAAGGGGGATCCCAGAGAATATTGGGAGATAGACCTCCTCGTAAGGGTCCATGGTGCGGTGGAAGAAGCGCAGCTCGGCAAGCCATGCGGAATCTCCCGGCTCGTCCTGGTGGAGCAGAAATTCGCGGATGTCGGCAGGGGTGTATCCGGGGGGCACATTTCTGAGTGAGAGAGTCGCAGCCCCTGCAGCCTTGGCTGCCGTGAAGTCCGGAAAGCGGTCCTCGAAGACCTTCAGAAGCACAGAACGTGAGGAGTTCAGAGAAATAGAACGGGGGAAAAGGCGTTTGAAGTCCTCGGCGTTTTCCTCCGAAGGCCAGGTGAAAGAGAGCCGCGCGTACGACCGGCGTGGGACGCGGAGAAGGTCGCCGGTGGCGGCTTCGAATTCCGGAACGGAGCCGCAGCGAAAGAAATGCGGCTTCAGCATAGCGGAGATGCGCGCGATGAGATCCGCGCGAATCGTTTCCGCCCCCGCTTCGGGCATCAGGAGGGTGACCACCGCGAGGCGGCGGCGAGGCATCACCAGGCCGGGTCCCCCAGGCCGCGGGCGGCGGAGGTTGCGGAGGGTCGCCGCGTTGGGGGGCGGGGGCGTATGGAGATTGACGGCCCCCAGAGGGGCACCCGCCGTCGGGGCAGCGGAGGCGCTGGCGGGAAGAGGGGTGGGGGCAGCAGAGGGGCTCGGGTGGGGGGCGGCATAGTCAGATGCGGCGGGCATGGGGATGCCCGAGGGCGACGCCGAGGAGCCGGGAGCGGAAGGACCTTCGAAGCAGGCCTTTTTGGCAGCCGGGGGGTCGTCGCTCGTGGGGAGGTCGGGGAGATTAACGTTGGGGAGCTCCTCGAGGTTGAGATCCTCGCCATCGAGGCGAAGGTCTTCGCCCACGAGAGACATGTCGTCGTCAGGGTTGTGAAGCGCTGCCATAATGGTTGAGAAAGAGTGAGAGAAGACGAAAGGAAGGCGAAAAACGAGTGGGGCGTGAGGGGGTATAAATATGGCGCATGGCGCTGGGGAGTGCCAGCAAGGTGGGGCGCTGGGGGGAGGTAACGAATGGGAAGAACGGGCAACGTTAGAGGCGCGTCGGAGGCAGTGGGATTGAGTGACGAGCCGCCGTGCATGGAGGCGGCCATTGCGCGCGGGATTTGAAAGGTCACGTCCGGGAATCGGTATAACGGAGAGGCGGCATTCGAAAAGACGCACGCCATCCGAGATGGCGAGGCACCTTGCTGCGGACGACAGAAGAGCCATCTGTACCTGTTGGACAACGAAGTCAAGCTGACGTGGAACGCCAGGTTTCGGTCGATTTGGGAGCAGGGCTGTCGATTCAAGGGCATGTGCCCTTAATGCCCTGAACATTCCGGGCTAACACCTGGCCAGCTCCGGCATTTCCAAGGGCTGGTTTCGAGGGGAGCCCGTTTTTCTTACGGGCTGATTTTGAGAAATGGGGGTCTCAACCCGGATCCGTTAAGGGCTGGTTCAGGGCCTTTCCCTGATTTCCCGGATCACGATTAAAAAAAAAAAAAAAAAAAAAAAAAAAAAAAAAAAAAAAAAGTCAGGCTTCGGCGCCGTCCTGGCGACGTGAAGCCGAGCAGCGCACATCCGCGCCACCTTGTCGTATTTTCCGAGGCGATCGAGCTCGGACCTAGGACAAGCAGGGGCGAAAGGGCGGGAGCGAAACACTTGCGCGGTGAGCTATCCTCTAGGCCAACAAGCCGACAGCGAAACAAGCCGACACGGACGAAGGGTTCGCACGACGGCGACGTCGCCGACAGCCAGACCGCCGGCGCCGACGTAGGGTCCATCTACGACGACGACCACGAGTTAATACGACGACCAAGCGCTACGTCGACCATCATGGCCGGACATCGTTGACCACGCTGGGAGCCGACGAGGTCGACGCCGACCTAGAAACGACACCGACCTAAACGCGCGACAACCCTTGGAAACTAACGACACATCCACACGGTAAACTAGGGATGAGCGCTCATGCGAGGCCGAAGTCGAAGCAACGTTCTGTGAACTCGGCCCTCATATCGCGAAGGACGTCGTAGTCCTTCATCTCAACGTCACTTCGTACCTCGCGCGGCCCACAGGCATCTCGAGGGGGAAGTCGGTCGCAGTCAGTTCTTTCCTACCGGTCGCCATGCTAACACCACGGTCTCGGAAGTTCCGGGCCTCAGATTTCAGGAATTTTACCCTGATTTTCTGAAGTTTGACCCCAGTTTTTTTTTGTGACCTGATCTATCAGCCTTTTTCTTTTTACAACCCTGATGAATCAGTGTTTTATGTTTCCAAGGACTGGTTTTCCAGTGTTTCCTGTTTGACGACACCGACGAGTCAGTGTTGTATCGGAGACGACCCTGAAACCGAAAACTCCGTGATTCTCGCCGTTTTGCGCGCCGTCATCATTCACGTACCCACCCTGCACCGACGCCACCATGCGGCTCGTCCAGATACAGCTGAACGGGGTAATTTCGTGCAGGGTTGGCAAAACGGCGCAAAGAGATTGGCTGTCCAAGCGGATGCAAACGGCGCAAAGAGATTCGCTTTTTTTAAGTTATTTTCATTGTGGCTGTAGATTCACTGATCAGTGTTTTCTTACAAGGCACCCTGTTTGATCAGTGTTTCATTTTCAACAACCCTGAGAAATCAGTGTTTCTCCACAGGCAACCCTGATGATCAGTGTTACAGCCCCAAGGGACCCTGAGTGCTTAGGGTCACCCAAAACGAATCTGAGGCCCTGCTCGGAACGCTACGCTACCACGATGGGGAGGAGAGAACCTAGGACGAGAGAGGAGCTGCGAGGCAAGAAAAATGAGGAAAGTGAAGTTGGAACAGAGAAATGACGGATGGAGTCCAACCCCCCGTTAAGAAAAGGCCGTGGGTCGCCGGTCGTCCACGGCAGCACTCGGCCGCTCGAGGGCGAAGCAGGTCGTGGCCGAGGGCGAGCCTCCGGCTTCGGCACGAACCGGGCTTGCCCGCGAGGAGGGGGTTCGGGGGGGATGTGGTCCGTGCATGAGTGGTCGGGGTGGCGAGAGCGAGCCACGTGTCCCCTCCCGAGGGGCCAGCGATGTTGACGAGGGTGGGGTTGGGCCCTCCGAGTTTCGCATCCAACCCGCCTGGCCGGCGAGGGCAGCCCGAGAGGGTTATTAGGGCCTCGCGGGCATTGCGAAGCGAATGTCCGCCTCCGTGAAGGGGTTACTAGGCCCCTCGTCGCTCGCGCGCCAGTTCGCCACCCCGAGTTTGTAACGTGGGGTTCTGTAGCAATTCGGGGTGGGGGGGCGGGGCGGGGGTCGTGGGGAGGAGTCCCGCCCCGCTCCAGCCTGGCGGAGGATTCACGCGAGGGAATTGGCCTCCCTGACGCTCGGTCGACCGTCACCCCCTTGCGTCGCCCCAGGCAAAACGGGAGTGTCACCCCGACTTCCGTTGAGCGATTCAGAAGTCAACAAATACAGATCACAAGCGCCTCCGCTCGCGGAATTCACAATAACGCGGAGTTAATTGTGGAAGAATGCGATGAACAAAACAATACCTAAACGAAGGGATATGCCATAATGCCACCCTTTTTCTGGTCATAGTGGTGTTGCTCTTGAAGTGTGAACCTGAACTGCCAAGTTGGGAGGCCAACAGCACAAACAATGGTCAACCAACTTGGGTCCTTATGCAGGCGCATGTCGCGAAACAAGAAACATCATACAAGAAACATCGTACAACTACCAATTCTGACCTTGAAGATAACCAAATAAATGTGTGTGGTGTTCTCAACTCTTGCGTTTACCACAACAAATGTATGTGTACACACGAGATAGTGGATATTCTGCGCAAGAACAAGCCCTCCCTCCCTGATTTATGGCCTGATCCACCAACCATAGGCCTACGCTAAACCTGAAGTATGGCCAATTTTGAAAAATGGGCCGATCCAGCACCCATAGCCTCCATGCATTCACGGCCACTTTTCCCCGTTCACAATTTTATCGAGAATAAGGCTCGTTCGAATTGCACTCTCTCCCACACTCGGGCACTCCCCTAGACCTCTAAGAGCCGACACTACTGTCGCTAGTAATGGCTGTTGCACGTGTTCTGGGCTCGGGTCATCCCACTCATAGTGCCCTGTGTCGTTCCACAGCTCCACCTTATTGGACAGGAAGAACTGGAACTTTATTCTGCCCGAGCTGCCCGTGATCTCGCCGTACTCCTGCTGGCTGGACTTGCCTGCTGCGAAGTTCCAGCTGCCCGTGCCGACAATTCCATTGGCGAATCGGAAGTGGGCTGTGACTGTATCAGGAGATGGATACAGGCCGGCAAGATTGGCGGACCAACCAGAGACTGCCACCTGTACAGGAGCCGGAAATCGAGGGAGGATGGGAGGGAAGAAATTATTTATGATGTGGTGCGGTGCAGGAGAGAAACACACCTAGGGTTCACATGGGGGTGCTTTACTCACATGGAGTCGACTCAGAATGTGCAGGAGAGGAATACATTTCCTATTCACATGTTGTGCGTCACAAGAGTCAGAATGCTTCACATGTTGTAGCGGGTGCTTTACATTCGTGCAGGTGTTTTTGAGAATTCCAAAGAACCACCTGCACATTAAGGATTCATGCTCACCACCGCGGGTGCACACTCACTCTCATGACAAGTCCATTCCCACTCATTACAGATCCACCCTCACTCACTCACTACAACCCCAACCCCACACCCACCTGCCATATCCTACCCGCACTCACCAGATGTCGAACCAGCAGTCGAGCAGGTCGAGCTGGTGGCTGCCCTTGTCCTCCTGCTTACCAGGAAGTACCCACCCAGCCCGCCCACCAGCAGGTGGAGATACCCCCACTGGTGACCCTCCGTTGCTCCACATGTGCGCACTCACCACCACACCCCCACGCTTACTCACCACACCCCCACGCTTACTCACCACGGGGCCGAACCAGAAGTCGAGCAGGTCCAGCTGGTGGCTGCCCTTGTCGCGAAAGTACCCTCCCAGGCCGCCCACAAGCGGATCCACGCGCCACCTGAGCGTGGCGTTGTGGAGCGACGCCCCTGCTGGGTGGTGTTGGGGTAAAGGCCGGTAGGGGTACCGCCGCTCATGTTGCTCCCTGCCTCCACTTCCCTCTTCGGTCCCTCCGCCCTGCTGCTGCTGCTGCTGCTGCTGCTGCTGCTGCTGCTGCTGCTGTTCCTGCAGCATCGTCTGCAGCTCTTTTTGAGTGGGGACCCCACTAATTGCCCACTGATAGTCGTACTTGTTAGGGGGCCGGTGGTATACCACCTGCACTGACAGGATGTCCCCTATGGCCCCGGACTCCAGCAAGGCCTTGATCTGCCAGGAGGGTCGGGAGGTTCAGGGGGGTTTCGAGGGGTGATTGGTGGTGTGTTGATGTGTACGAGGCCACTTTTGAAAATTCTCAAGAGTGATTCGAACATGGCTGGTGGAGCATTGTAAGAATACCGGCAGAGCATGGAATAAGAAAGCAACCTAAGAAGGTTGGGCGCTGTGCAACACACCCTGAAGAGTATGGGCAGGGAGCAGTAGCAGTTCGGAAAGGCAAAACCTGATCACCCCCTAAGAAAGTCGGCCACCAGCATTCAAACACACCCCAAGCAACCAAGGCGTATTCCAAACACACCCCAAGCAACCAAGGCATATTCGTAACACACCCCAAGCAATCAATGCGCATTCCAAACACACCCCAAACAACCAAGGCGTATTCCAAACACACCCCAAGCAACCAAGGCGTATTCCAAACACACCCCAAGCAACCAAGGCGTATTCCAAACACACCCCAAGCAACCAAGGCGTATTCCAAACACACCCCGAGCAATCAAGGCGTATTCCAAACACACCCGAAGCAACCAAGGCGTATTCCAAACACACCCCGAGCAATCAATGCGCATTCCAAAAACACCCCAAGCAATCAAGGCGTATTCCAAACACACCCTGAGGAAGTTGGGCAGGGCGCGGCGGTAGTAGGCCACAAAGAGAGGCAGCTTGGCGCGCTGGAAGGCTGCAAGGATGTCAGAGCTGTCCACGTGGCTCATTCCCATTGGCTTCTCCACGTAGGCTGGCTTTCCTGCCTGCGCCGCCATGATGGCGTATCTGCACCCATGCCACGTGGCAGTCACAGAGTGGGCGGAATGTATGAAGAGTCATGGCGGGTGATGGCAAAGAGGAATGATTGAAACAGCACATGCCTGACAAAACAGCACATGCCTGACAAAACAGCACATGCCTGACAAAACAGCACATGCCTGACAAAACAGCACATGCCTGACAAACAGCACATGCCTGACAAAACAGCACATGCCTGACAAAACAGCACATGCCTGACAAAACAGCACATGCCTGACAAAACAGCACATGCCTGACAAAACAGCACATGCCTGACAAAACAGCACATGCCTGACAAAACAGCACATCCCTGACAAAACAGCAGCCAGTTTTGAAGGGTTGGTGCATGAGGTGTGTGTGTGTGTGTGTGTGTGTGTGTGTGTGTGTGTGTGTGTGTGTGTGTGTTTGTGATTCATGCCGTCGCACCACATGCTGACAGACTCACTGCTTGTGGTATCGGTGGGGAGTGGCGATATAAACCGCGTTCACATCGGCGTCGTTGATCATCTCCTCTGCGCTCGTTGACCACCTGCCATGGAGCCATGCACAGGTACCACCCACGCGCAAGCAGGCATGCGCAAATGAGGCACTGCGCAAGTGACCCACAACCACAAGAGTGACCCACAACCACAAGAGTGACCCACAACCACAAGAGTGACCCACAACCACAAGAGTGACCCACAACCACAAGAGTGACCCACAACCACAAGAGTGACCCACAACCACAAGAGTGACCCACAACCACAAGAGTGACCCACAACCACAAGAGTGACCCACAACCACAAGAGTGACCCACAACCACAATAGTGACCCACAACCACAAGAGTGACCCACAACCACAAGAGTGACCCACAACCACAAGAGTGACCCACAACCACAAGAGTGACCCACAACCACAAGAGTGACCCACAACCACAAGAGTGCCCCACAACCACAAGAGTGACCCACAACCACAAGAGTGACCCACAACCACAAGAGTGACCCACAACCACAAGAGTGACCCACAGCCCAAGGGCACAAAAGGACACGGCGATTCTCATGAGGGCTGTTGATTGGCTGGGCTCCTCCGCATGTGCCGGATTCCTAGACCACCTGCCATGCACACGTCACCATGCAGAGCAGACGTGCTCGAGAGCCAGCGGAATGCAAACCCGCTTGAGCAAGCAAGAGCGGCCGAGAGTAAGTTCATTGGCAGTTGTTTGTGTTCCCATGTGTGTCGGTCGTTGGTCGTTAGCTCTGCATTTGTTGACCACCGGCGCTGCACGTCCCCACCCATGCTGCCCCTCCCCTCTCCTACCTGCACCCACCTACAGGGGAGACTTTTGAGTCGACTCAAAAGTCACCTCGCTGCACGTCCCCACCCATGCTGCCCCTCCCCTCTCCTACCTGCACCCACCTACAGGGGAGACTTTTGAGTCGACTCAAAAGTCACCTCGCTGCACGTCCCCACCCATGCTGCCCCTCCCCTCTCCTACCTGCACCCACCTACAGGGGAGACTTTTGAGTCGACTCAAAAGTCACCTCGCTGCACGTCCCCACCCATGCTGCCCCTCCCCTCTCCTACCTGCACCCACCTACAGGGGAGACTTTTGAGTCGACTCAAAAGTCACCTCGCTGCACGTCCCCACCCATGCTGCCCCTCCCCTCTCCTACCTGCACCCACCTACAGGGGAGACTTTTGAGTCGACTCAAAAGTCACCTCGCTGCACGTCCCCACCCATGCTGCCCCTCCCCTCTCCTACCTGCACCCACCTACAGGGGAGACTTTTGAGTCGACTCAAAAGTCACCTCGCTGCACGTCCCCACCCATGCTGCCCCTCCCCTCTCCTACCTGCACCCACCTACAGGGGAGACTTTTGAGTCGACTCAAAAGTCACCTCGCTGCACGTCCCCACCCATGCTGCCCCTCCCCTCTCCTACCTGCACCCACCTACAGGGGAGACTTTTGAGTCGACTCAAAAGTCACCTCGCTGCACGTCCCCACCCATGCTGCCCCTCCCCTCTCCTACCTGCACCCACCTACAGGGGAGACTTTTGAGTCGACTCAAAAGTCACCTCGCTGCACGTCCCCACCCATGCTGCCCCTCCCCTCTCCTACCTGCACCCACCTACAGGGGAGACTTTTGAGTCGACTCAAAAGTCACCTCGCTGCACGTCCCCACCCATGCTGCCCCTCCCCTCTCCTACCTGCACCCACCTACAGGGGAGACTTTTGAGTCGACTCAAAAGTCACCTCGCTGCACGTCCCCACCCATGCTGCCCCTCCCCTCTCCTACCTGCACCCACCTACAGGGGAGACTTTTGAGTCGACTCAAAAGTCACCTCGCTGCACGTCCCCACCCATGCTGCCCCTCCCCTCTCCTACCTGCACCCACCTACAGGGGAGACTTTTGAGTCGACTCAAAAGTCACCTCGCTGCACGTCCCCACCCATGCTGCCCCTCCCCTCTCCTACCTGCACCCACCTACAGGGGAGACTTTTGAGTCGACTCAAAAGTCACCTCGCTGCACGTCCCCACCCATGCTGCCCCTCCCCCCTTGCGAGTGATTTTTGAGAATTCTCAAAAACCCCTCCCCCCTCCTACCTGCACCCACCTACAGGGGAGCATAAGCCCCCCACCTGGGCACGTGGTGGCGCTGGGCGCGGACACCCACCTGCTCACCTGCCCACCTGCCCACCTCCACATGCCCACCTAGTGCAGGAGAGCAAGAGAGCACCTAAAGGCCCCACCTGGGCACGTGGTGGCGCTGCGCGTAGTCCTGAGCCATGGTGGCGTTGCGGCGCATGACAGCCACGAGGCGAGACGAGGGAATGAGGGAGAGCGCCGGGCCGGACTTCTTCTCTGTCACGTCGCCGCAACCGATGATGGCCCAGCGCACCTGATGCGAGGAGAAGGAGGCGGGCAGGCGCAAAGGAGGGAATGAGGGTGAGTGCCGGGCCGGATTTCTTCTCTGTCACGTCGCCACACCCGATGATGGCCCACCGCACCTGGTGGGGGAGGGGTTGAGGGGATGAGAAGTGGTGGGAGTGAGCAGCCAGGGGAATGAGGTGGGCAGTGTGATGTGAGGAGGGCGGGCGGGAGGAGGGAATGCGCGAGAGGAGTTTTGAGGCGCCTCAAAAGGCGGGAGGAGGGAATGCGCGAGAGGATTTTTGAGGCGCCTCAAAAGGCGGGAGGAGGGAATGCGCGAGAGGATTTTTGAGGCGCCTCAAAAGGCGGGAGGAGGGAATGCGCGAGAGGATTTTTGAGGCGCCTCAAAAGGCGGGAGGAGGGAATGCGCGAGAGGATTTTTGAGGCGCCTCAAAAGGCGGGAGGAGGGAATGCGGGAGAGGATTTTTGAGGCGCCTCAAAAGGCGGGAGGAGGGAATGCGGGAGAGGATTTTTGAGGCGCCTCAAAAGGCGGGAGGAGGGAATGCGCGAGAGGATTTTTGAGGCGCCTCAAAAGGCGGGAGGAGGGAATGCGCGAGAGGATTCTTGAGGCGCCTCAAAAGGCGGGAGGAGGGAATGCGCGAGAGGATTCTTGAGGCGCCTCAAAAGGCGGGAGAAGGGAATGCGCGAGAGGATTCTTGAGGCGCCTCAAAAGGCGGGAGGAGGGAATGCGCGAGAGGATTCTTGAGGCGCCTCAAAAGGCGGGAGGAGGGAATGCGCGAGAGGATTCTTGAGGCGCCTCAAAAGGCGGGAGGAGGGAATGCGCGAGAGGATTCTTGAGGCGCCTCAAAAGGCGGGAGGAGGGAATGCGCGAGAGGATTCTTGAGGCGCCTCAAAAGGCGGGAGGAGGGAATGCGCGAGAGGATTCTTGAGGCGCCTCAAAAGGCGGGAGGAGGGAATGCGCGAGAGGATTCTTGAGGCGCCTCAAAAGGCGGGAGGAGGGAATGCGCGAGAGGATTCTTGAGGTGCCTCAAAAGGCGGGAGGAGGGAATGCGCGAGAGCGCTGGGCCGGATTTCCTATCTGTGACGTCGCCAGACCCGATGATGGCCCACCGCACCTGGAGGGGAAAGAGAATGGGCAATGGGAGTAGAGTGGAGAATGAGAGTGAGCAATGGTGGGAGTGAGGAGCAGCGGGGGGGATGAGGTGAGTAGAGTGAGCAGCGGGGGGGATGAGGTGAGTAGAGTGAGCAGCGGGGGGGATGAGGTGAGTAGAGTGAGCAGCGGGGGGGATGAGGTGAGTAGAGTGAGCAGCGGGGGGGATGAGGTGAGTAGAGTGAGCAGCGGGGGGGATGAGGTGAGTAGAGTGAGCAGCGGGGGGGATGAGGTGAGTAGAGTGAGCAGCGGGGGGGATGAGGTGAGTAGAGTGAGCAGCGGGGGGGATGAGGTGAGTAGAGTGAGCAGCGGGGGGGATGAGGTGAGTAGAGTGAGCAGCGGGGGGGATGAGGTGAGTAGAGTGAGCAGCGGGGGGGATGAGGTGAGTAGAGTGAGCAGCGGGGGGGATGAGGTGAGTAGAGTGAGCAGCGGGGGGGATGAGGTGAGTAGAGTGAGCAGCGGGGGGGATGAGGTGAGTAGAGTGAGCAGCGGGGGGGATGAGGTGAGTAGAGTGAGTGTGTCTGCGGGCGTGGGCCATCATTGGGTGAAGAGTTGAGAGGGCGGTGGGGATGGATGGAGAGTGATGGGAGTGGGCAGTGGGGGGGGATGAGGTGAGTAGTGGGAAGATAAGGCGCAGGGGGGGGAATGAGCGAGAGAGAGCGCCGGGTCGGAATTTTTCTCTATGACGTCGTCACGTCACACCCAAAGATGGCCCACCGCATTTGGAGGGAGGATGTGGGTGGCGGGCACAGTGATGACCGGTAGCAGTGGTGTGAGCGACTCACTCCCCGGAGTGTGGGCGGAGTGGTAGTGCTGGTGGAATGAGTGTGAGATAAGTCGATTTTTGAGTCGACTCAAAAATCGAGTGGTAGTGTTGGTGGAGTGAGTGTGACTGGGGGCGATGGGGGCGGGGATGGGAGATTCGGTGATGCTGTGGCGAGGGGACAGGGAGGCCCCCCCCCCCTAGCACTCCCATACGAGTCCCCACCATTTACCTCGCTGACAGGATGGTAATTTGCCAGCCTGTCATGGGCGGGAACGGTTGTCGGTAGTGACGGGGTGGGCGGCGAGGAGAGGAAGAGCCCGAGGAGCAGCAGCGTGAAAAGCGCGCCGATGATAAGCGGGAGGGGAGGGCGGCTGAGAAGCGCGGGAAAGCGCGGAGCTGACGTGGCAACTGGTCGCGGCATTGTCATATAGTACTAGCGCGTTCTCATCCACTGTTACTACGGATTTGGCGGGAAATATGTTATACGCTTCACAGGCAAAGGCGAATTAATGGAGCAAACATAGCTGGCATAGCGACTCGTGGCAATGCGGCTCGACGGCGATAGGTTTTGCAGGAAACTGGGAAAGGAGCTCCACTCCACATGTGCGCAAATCTCCGAGTTGTCTCATTGATGTTCAACAACGATTGTATTTGTGCAAATGTTCTGCAGTGTGCTCTAAATGTTCCGAGCCGAAATGTATTGAATTTTAAAAGTTGCTACTATCGAAACAGCTGATGGGTTCTGACCAGTCACTGTAGCAGCCGATAATTCCGCGCCCCAGGTTTGGCGCGAAACCAACTTCAGTCACAATCACAGCAAATATCTGCTTGCTTTTTTCCACCTCTTCTTGAACTTGACTCAATCCCCCTCCCAGCCATATGATTTACAAGGCAATGGCTGACATACCGAGACTTATTACATCTTGCAGTTCTGTCTTCCACGCACATAGCGTTTGTTCGAAGTGCTGCGCGCTTTAGGCTGGGAGTCGCAGAAACCATTGCGATTTTGAGTTGACTCAAGAATCTGTTCGAAGTGCTGCACGCATTGGCCTGGGATTTGGAGGAACCATTGCGTGCAACAAGAGTCCAGCAGCACACTGGTGGATCCAGTGTCACCCGCTTAACTGCAGCAATTCACGCACACAGTTGATCGCTGTAGAGATTAAGATTCTGATGAGTCGACTCAAGTGCATGCAACGAATGAGTCTACATCGAGAGTAGAAGACCTAGCGGTGCATGTTAGCATCACTGACGAGCGCAGTTCATTTTATCTCTCGGCGGTTTTTAAATGCGACAGAGCCGAAGCATCCGGCTTGGTACAGGTGCCCTCACGCATTGCTAGACATTCTCAGGCGTTGCCAGGTGTACCCAGTCGTTGCAAGGTGTACCCAGCGGTCGTTAGCTGCTGCTGCGGTTTCCTCCGGGGATCTCCTTAAAGCCCAAAAAAAAAAAAAAAAAAAGTTAGCTGTCGCCAGGGCGTGGTTCTCCATGAGCTTAGCGCTAAACTTCCGCAGCTGCTGCTTAAGCTTTACCAGGCTCCCCACCTTGCGCGCCAACGCCGTGCGTCTCTGCCATCATCCCCGCCGAGTCGTCGTCACAGTTACTTGTTCGGGTCACATCCGACCTGCAGGAGCCACCGCTCTCCACCGCGCAGCACCTCTCCAGGGATTGCCAGCCGTCCGCCGACTCCCTTCAGTTCGTAAATCTGCAGCTGATCACCACTCACCAGTCAAAAACCATCAGCTAGCCGGCAGCCAGCTTCCAGCTGCGATGAAGTCAGGACGGGGAGGTAGCAGTGGCAAGAAGCCTGGCGTTACCGCCGCAGACGGTCGCGGTCAACGGTCCATTGCTTCTTTCTTCGGAGGCAAGGACCAATCAGGACCCGCGGGGAAGGCTTTACCTGGGGGCGGTCAGAGGTCCATCTCCTCGTTTTTCGGAGCAGAAGGGAAAGCTGCCGCTGCTACTGGTGGTGGAGGTGGTGGTGGAGGTGTGGGTAAATCCGAGGTCGAGGGTTCGAATCCCAGTGCAGTGGATAAAGCAAGCGAGGAGTTGAAGGGGGCGGCATTGAGGAAAGACGAGCCTCTAGAATCAGCAGCAGCAGCAGCTGAGGGTCCAGTGCCCACACAGGCTAGTAAAGAAGCTGTTGAAAACGGGGATGGAGCAGTGGCTACTGCAGGGAAAGAAGGCACTCGCGCCGAGCAGGCAGTGAGGGAGGAAGCTTGGGAGGATGAGATGACAGAGGCGGAAGCAGCAGGGGGAAGGGAAGGCGGAGGGGGAAGCGCAGGGGGGGGAGCAAGGGAAGCTGTGACTGGCGGAGCTGGCGCCAGGCGGTTGAAGCGGCTGAGGAAGGTTGGGGAGGGGGCGCGGGGAACGGGGAAGGGAAGAGGGGAAGGAGGAGTTGAAGGAGAGGGGATTGGGGAGGTGGGAGGAGGGACGGGGGAGATGGGAGAGGGTGCAAAAAAGGCAAGGACGGGAGGAGGCAAGGAGGGGGAATCCGCTGCTGCTGCTGCGACTGCTGCTGCTGCTGCTGCTGTCGCTGCTGCTGCTGCTGCTGCTGCCGCCAAAGCTTCTGCGTCTGTCGCTGCTGCTGCTGCTGCTGCTGCTGCGGCTGGTAAAGGGGCTTCTACCCCCGCCGTCGCGCCGAAGTCACCAACTGTTGCCAGAGGAAGGAAGAAAGCAGCAGCTTCAGCTGGTAAAGCTGCAACCGTTGCAACTCCTGCTGCTCCTGCTGCAGCCACGGATGTTGCTGCTGCCACGGCTGAGTTAGCAGCTGAGGGAGGGAAGAAGAAGACCACTCGTCGCAGGACCAGCAGCAGAAGCAGCAGCAGTGACAGCAGCGGCAGTAGTGGTGGCAAGGGTGCGGCATTATCCGGCAGTAGCAGCAGCGCCAGTGACGGTGCTGACGAGGACAGTGACGTGGGCAGTGACGTGGACAGTGCCAGCAGTGACCTGGCGGAGACTCCCGTCGATGCAGCAGCAGAAACTGCGGAAGCCAAATCCGCTTTTGACGCCCTAAAGCAAGCTAAGAGCCGCACAGAAACGAAAACCAAGAGGAAAACCAGGGGGAAAGGGGCAGGGGCAGGAGGCACAGCAGGAGGAGGAGCAGGCGATGGGTTGGTGGCGCTGGCAGCAAAGCTGGTGCAGTATGATCCGGTGGTGGCTGCCACGTGGAAGAGTGGCGAGAGAGTGCCCTTCCTCTACCTTGCCCAGGCACTTGACAGTACGTTGGCTCTGGGATCTGTACTGGGGCTCTGGGCTGTGTGTTGGGGTTTTGGGGCTTGGGTTGTGGGTGGGTTGGTGGCGCTGGCAGCAAAGCTGGTGCAGTATGACCTGGTGACAGCTGCCACGTGGAAGAGCGGCGAGCGGGTGCTCTATTCCTCTACCTCGCGCAAGCATTAGCCAGTACGTCGGCTCTGGGGTTTGGGCTGTGGGTTCTGGGGTTTGGGCTGTGGGTTCTGGGGTTTGGGCTGTGGGTTCTGGGGTTTGGGCTGTGGGTTCTGGGGTGAGGGCCATGGGCGTGCTGCTGTGGGCTGTGGGTCGTGGGTTGTGGGTTGTGGTTTGTGGGTTGTGGGCTGTGGGTCGTGGGTTGTGGGTTGTGGTTTGTGGGTTGTGGTTTGTGGGTTGTGGGTTGTGGTTTGTGGGTTGTGGTTTGTGGTTTGTGGGTTGTGGGTTGTGGGTTGTGGTTTGTGGGTTGTGGGTTGTGGTTTGTGGGTTGTGGGTTGTGGGTTGTGGTTTGTGGGTTGTGGTTTGTGGGTTGTGGGTTGTGGGTTGTGGGTTGTGGGTTGTGGTTTGTGGGTTGTGGGTTGTGGTTTGTGGGTTGTGGGTTGTGGGCACGAAGGTGTAAATTCAATGCAGAGGGGAAATGAGGGTTTCAGGGCATGCATTGTAGTGAGAATCAGGGCAAGGTTTCTAGCTCAATCGTTGAGATACAAGTCAACCAGGGTTAGCATGGTGCTCCTCAATCTAACCTGCCAATGTCCTCCCTTCCCTACCCGCCATGTATGCATCATTCCAGGAATATCCAACGAATCTGGACGGCTAGCGATCACAGCTATCATGTGCAACATGTTCCGCACCGTATGCGGTTTTTGTGATTTTGAAAGAAACCCTCCAAACCGCCTCTGTGTGCCAGGAATATCCAACGAATCTGGACGGCTGGCGATCACGGAGATCATGTGCAACGTGTTCCGCACAGTCATGGCCACGTCACCAGACGACCTGCTGCCCATCGTGTACCTCGCGGCCAATCGCGTCGCGCCACCTCACGAGGGCGTGGAGCTGGGGATTGGCGATGCGACTATCATCCGTGCTCTGGCTGAGGCGACTGGGAGGAAAGAGGCAGTGGTGAAATCGGAGTACAAGGTATGTATGATGGGAACAAATTACCCACGATGCAAAGGGTTGGGTTGGGTATAGTGGCTGGGGATAGCAGCTGGGGATTGACGATGCAACCATCATCCGCGCTCTGGCTGAGGCGACTGGGAGGAAGGAGGCGGTGGTTAAGTCGAAGTATAAGGTAGGTACGATGAGTACAATCAAAATGTTGTGTCACCATCATCCGTGCGGTGAGGATAGGAGGTGAGGATTGGCGATGCGACCATCATCCGTGCTCTGGGAGGAAAGAGGCAGTGGTTAAGTCTGCGTACAAGGTAAGTGAGATGGGAATGAATGAACAATGGGTGAAGATAGGGGCTGAAGATGAGTGCTGGTTCATGGCTTCACGAATAATAATGCTTGCACTACTGCCATACCGCTGTCATACCTGTACTTTTCTTCTAGATGTCTCAGTTTCCATTTCGACTCTAAATTTTATATTCTCAAACCTTGAATTCCTTCCACAGGAGTGTGGCGACCTGGGGCTGGTGGCAAAGGCCAGTCGAACCACACAACGCATGATGATGCAACCGGCGCCACTCACGTGCCACAAGGTGTTTGAAGCCTTCCGATTCATTGCCAAGGTCAGTGAACCTGGTTGCTTGCCACGGTGAGCCTTCTGTTGAGACGTTGCAAGCTTGATGCAGCCACCGCCACTGTACCACTCACGTGCCATAAGGTATTTGAAGCCTTCCGATTCATTGCCAAGGGGGGCCCCCTTCTCTTGTCCACCAGGGATTACAGAAATAGGTATGCATGGATGGTTGCTTGTGCTTCTGTTGCTATCATGTGGGCTGTCAGTGTGCTTACAACAAGTGCACGTGTTCACCCCTCAGGAGTCGGGCAGTCAGAGTGTGGAGAAGAAGCGGGCCCGCATAAAGCAGCTGCTGGTGTCAGCGCGGCAGCAGGAGCCGCAGTTCATAGTGCGCCTGCTGCAGGGCAAGATGCGCATCGGATAGGGCTCTCGCTGAGAAAAACAACCCTCACCTATGCATTCCCACAACACCCCCCACCCACCTGCCTCCTTCTGTGTGACCGTGTCTGTGTCTGTGTGTGCGCCTTCTCTGCTCCAACTCACCCCTCGCCCCTGTTCTCAGGAGTCGGGCAGTCAGAGTGTAGAGAAGAAGCGGGCGCGCATAAAGCAGCTGCTGGTGTCGGCGCGGCAGCAGGAGCCGCAGTTCATAGTGCGCCTGCTGCAGGGCAAGATGCGCATTGGACTCGCAGAACAGACGGTGCTTGCCGCCCTGGCCCAGGCCGCTGTCATGCACGAGGATTTCCGAGAGGGCGCTGGGGGTGCTGGTGATGATAAGGAGGGTGGGAATAAGGATGGTGTTGGTGGCAAGGCTGGGGATGGTGCTTCTGTGGCTATGGAGGGAGGGGGGGATGCGGGGATGGAGGGAGAGGGTGAGGGGAAAGGACCGGGGCAGGAGGGTCAGGGAAAGGAGGTGCTTTCGAAGAGGGAGAAATTGGCTCGACTGCCGGGAAGACTAGAAGAGGTGAGTGCTACAGACTGTTGCAAAGCGTGACTGCTGGGGGTTAATAAGAAGAATAGAGAAAGGGCAGACTAGGTGCACTGGACCATTTCTGAGGAAATTCTCCCATGCACCTGCATGAGCCAACTGCGCCCCTCATTTTGCAAATGGCTCCCCTGTCCCACTTCGCCATCGCTCGTCGCCCTGCCACCTCATCCCCACCCCCACAACCCTATCCCCCCCCCCCTCCCCTGAACTTCCCACTCCCCCAACTTCACGACCCCACTCCCCGACTCCCCGGACTCCCCTCCCCACACACCCCATCCCCCACTCCCCCTAATCTTCCAGGCAGTGCGCATCATGAAGCATGCGTACTCAGTCCTCCCAGTGTACGACCAAGTTGTTCCATCCCTCCTAAAAGACGGCATCTGGGCCGTGCCCCAGGCATGTCAGTTCACCCTGGGAGTGCCGGTGGGGCCCATGCTGGCGAAGCCCACGCGGGGGATATCGGAGATTCTGGATAAGCTGCAGGGACTCACTTTCACCTGCGAGTATAAGTACGACGGGGAGAGGACGCAGGTGAATGGTTATTTTATTTCCCATGCTATTCCATTCCATCTTCCGTGACACCCATTCCATCTTCCGTGACACCCATTCCATCTTCCGTGACACCCATTCCATCTTCCGTGACACCCATTCCATCTTCCGTGACACCCATTCCATCTTCCGTGACACCCATTCCATCTTCCGTGACACCCATTCCATCTTCCGTGACACCCATTCCATCTTCCGTGACACCCATTCCATCTTCCGTGACACCCATTCCATCTTCCGTGACACCCATTCCATCTTCCGTGACACCCATTCCATCTTCCGTGACACCCATTCCCAATTTCCATCATCACCCCATGCCCCCCCTTGCCAGTTGGCTCTCCACGCTCCAAGCAAAGTGACACCACCCCACCCACCCCATGCCAATGCTCCCGTCCCGTGTCCTTGTTTCTCTCCCTGGCAGGTGCATGGCTTAGCGGACGGCACAGTGCAGATCTACAGCCGCAATGCAGAGTGCACCACGGGCAAGTTCCCAGACCTCGTGCAGGCCGTTCAGAAGTAAGCCGTGTTGTGAGGCGCCTCAAGAAATCCTTCAGAATTAGGTCGCTCATGCCTTAAGTGTCGACCTAAGATGCGGAGTGCACCACGGGCAAGTTCCCACGGGCAAGACCTCGTGCAGGCTGTTCAGAAGTAAGCCGTCTGTGCTTGAGCCAGTGTTGAGATTCTACAACTCTGCGATTCAATCATGTTTTGAGACGTCTCAAGGTGACTTTTGAGTCGACTCAAAAGTCACTTTGTTTTATCACGTGTTCTTGAGCCAGTGTTGAGATTCTACAACTCTGCGATTCAATCATCAAGAAACTGTTTGAAAGCGAGTAATTCGGTCCCAATGCATCACTGTTGCTCGTGTGATTACTTCACTGTTGCTCACAGCTGTTAGGCAACAAAACATCCCGCCCTTCTGCCACTTCTCTATCCTGCTCTCGCAGGCACAAGAAGGCTCACCTACAGACGTTCGTGTTGGATGCAGAGGCGGTGGCATACGACAGGGAGAGTGACAAGATTCTGCCCTTCCAGGTGCTCAGCACGCGCGCGAGGAAGGGCGTCATCGTGAGCGACATTAAAGTGCAGGTGCGTGGTTGCGTAGAATGTGGGGGTGGGTGGGTGTGCGAACAGTTCTGCTAGGTCGCGTGCACCCACCCACTCATGGGAGGATGGAAATGGATGGGTGATGACATCCCAAGTGCGAACAGTTCTACTGGCCACCCTCTTCCCATGAGTGTGACCTGCATCGGCCTTGAACCTGCTGTGCCTGATCAGCGTATGTCTTTTGAGAATTCTCAAAAAACGTACACTCATGGGAGGATGGAATGGAATGGATGCCGTCCCAAGTGCTCACTGGTTACCGTCTTCTCATGAGTGTGACCTGCATCGCTGTACCTGGTCATGAGTGTGACCTGCATCGCTGTACCTGGTCATGAGTGTGACCTGCATCGCTGTACCTGGTCATGAGTGTGACCTGCATCGCTGTACCTGGTCATGAGTGTGACCTGCATCGCTGTACCTGGTCATGAGTGTGACCTGCATCGCTGTACCTGGTCATGAGTGTGACCTGCATCGCTGTACCTGGTCATGAGTGTGACCTGCATCGCTGTACCTGGTCATGAGTGTGACCTGCATCGCTGTACCTGGTCATGAGTGTGACCTGCATCGCTGTACCTGGTCATGAGTGTGACCTGCATCGCTGTACCTGGTCATGAGTGTGACCTGCATCGCTGTACCTGGTCATGAGTGTGACCTGCATCGCTGTACCTGGTCATGAGTGTGACCTGCATCGCTGTACCTGGTCATGAGTGTGACCTGCATCGCTGTACCTGGTCATGAGTGTGACCTGCATCGCTGTACCTGGTCATGAGTGTGACCTGCATCGCTGTACCTGGTCATGAGTGTGACCTGCATCGCTGTACCTGGTCATGAGTGTGACCTGCATCGCTGTACCTGGTCATGAGTGTGACCTGCATCGCTGTACCTGGTCATGAGTGTGACCTGCATCGCTGTACCTGGTCATGAGTGTGACCTGCATCGCTGTACCTGGTCATGAGTGTGACCTGCATCGCTGTACCTGGTCATGAGTGTGACCTGCATCGCTGTACCTGGTCATGAGTGTGACCTGCATCGCTGTACCTGGTCATGAGTGTGACCTGCATCGCTGTACCTGGTCATGAGTGTGACCTGCATCGCTGTACCTGGTCATGAGTGTGACCTGCATCGCTGTACCTGGTCATGAGTGTGACCTGCATCGCTGTACCTGGTCATGAGTGTGACCTGCATCGCTGTACCTGGTCATGAGTGTGACCTGCATCGCTGTACCTGGTCATGAGTGTGACCTGCATCGCTGTACCTGGTCATGAGTGTGACCTGCATCGCTGTACCTGGTCATGAGTGTGACCTGCATCGCTGTACCTGGTCATGAGTGTGACCTGCATCGCTGTACCTGGTCATGAGTGTGACCTGCATCGCTGTACCTGGTCATGAGTGTGACCTGCATCGCTGTACCTGGTCATGAGTGTGACCTGCATCGCTGTACCTGGTCATGAGTGTGACCTGCATCGCTGTACCTGGTCATGAGTGTGACCTGCATCGCTGTACCTGGTCATGAGTGTGACCTGCATCGCTGTACCTGGTCATGAGTGTGACCTGCATCGCTGTACCTGGTCATGAGTGTGACCTGCATCGCTGTACCTGGTCATGAGTGTGACCTGCATCGCTGTACCTGGTCATGAGTGTGACCTGCATCGCTGTACCTGGTCATGAGTGTGACCTGCATCGCTGTACCTGGTCATGAGTGTGACCTGCATCGCTGTACCTGGTCATGAGTGTGACCTGCATCGCTGTACCTGGTCATGAGTGTGACCTGCATCGCTGTACCTGGTCATGAGTGTGACCTGCATCGCTGTACCTGGTCATGAGTGTGACCTGCATCGCTGTACCTGGTCATGAGTGTGACCTGCATCGCTGTACCTGGTCATGAGTGTGACCTGCATCGCTGTACCTGGTCATGAGTGTGACCTGCATCGCTGTACCTGGTCATGAGTGTGACCTGCATCGCTGTACCTGGTCACGAGTGTGACCTGCATCGCTGTACCTGGTCATGAGTGTGACCTGCATCGCTGTACCTGGTCACGAGTGTGACCTGCATCGCTGTACCTGGTCATGAGTGTGACCTGCATCGCTGTACCTGGTCATGAGTGTGACCTGCATCGCTGTACCTGGTCATGAGTGTGACCTGCATCGCTGTACCTGGTCATGAGTGTGACCTGCATCGCTGTACCTGGTCATGAGTGTGACCTGCATCGCTGTACCTGGTCATGAGTGTGACCTGCATCGCTGTACCTGGTCATGAGTGTGACCTGCATCGCTGTACCTGGTCATGAGTGTGACCTGCATCGCTGTACCTGGTCATGAGTGTGACCTGCATCGCTGTACCTGGTCATGAGTGTGACCTGCATCGCTGTACCTGGTCATGAGTGTGACCTGCATCGCTGTACCTGGTCATGAGTGTGACCTGCATCGCTGTACCTGGTCATGAGTGTGACCTGCATCGCTGTACCTGGTCATGAGTGTGACCTGCATCGCTGTACCTGGTCATGAGTGTGACCTGCATCGCTGTACCTGGTCATGAGTGTGACCTGCATCGCTGTACCTGGTCATGAGTGTGACCTGCATCGCTGTACCTGGTCATGAGTGTGACCTGCATCGCTGTACCTGGTCATGAGTGTGACCTGCATCGCTGTACCTGGTCATGAGTGTGACCTGCATCGCTGTACCTGGTCATGAGTGTGACCTGCATCGCTGTACCTGGTCATGAGTGTGACCTGCATCGCTGTACCTGGTCATGAGTGTGACCTGCATCGCTGTACCTGGTCATGAGTGTGACCTGCATCGCTGTACCTGGTCATGAGTGTGACCTGCATCGCTGTACCTGGTCATGAGTGTGACCTGCATCGCTGTACCTGGTCATGAGTGTGACCTGCATCGCTGTACCTGGTCATGAGTGTGACCTGCATCGCTGTACCTGGTCATGAGTGTGACCTGCATCGCTGTACCTGGTCATGAGTGTGACCTGCATCGCTGTACCTGGTCATGAGTGTGACCTGCATCGCTGTACCTGGTCACGAGTGTGACCTGCATCGCTGTACCTGGTCATGAGTGTGACCTGCATCGCTGTACCTGGTCATGAGTGTGACCTGCATCGCTGTACCTGGTCATGAGTGTGACCTGCATCGCTGTACCTGGTCATGAGTGTGACCTGCATCGCTGTACCTGGTCATGAGTGTGACCTGCATCGCTGTACCTGGTCATGAGTGTGACCTGCATCGCTGTACCTGGTCATGAGTGTGACCTGCATCGCTGTACCTGGTCATGAGTGTGACCTGCATCGCTGTACCTGGTCATGAGTGTGACCTGCATCGCTGTACCTGGTCATGAGTGTGACCTGCATCGCTGTACCTGGTCATGAGTGTGACCTGCATCGCTGTACCTGGTCATGAGTGTGACCTGCATCGCTGTACCTGGTCATGAGTGTGACCTGCATCGCTGTACCTGGTCATGAGTGTGACCTGCATCGCTGTACCTGGTCATGAGTGTGACCTGCATCGCTGTACCTGGTCATGAGTGTGACCTGCATCGCTGTACCTGGTCATGAGTGTGACCTGCATCGCTGTACCTGGTCATGAGTGTGACCTGCATCGCTGTACCTGGTCACGAGTGTGACCTGCATCGCTGTACCTGGTCATGAGTGTGACCTGCATCGCTGTACCTGGTCATGAGTGTGACCTGCATCGCTGTACCTGGTCATGAGTGTGACCTGCATCGCTGTACCTGGTCATGAGTGTGACCTGCATCGCTGTACCTGGTCATGAGTGTGACCTGCATCGCTGTACCTGGTCATGAGTGTGACCTGCATCGCTGTACCTGGTCATGAGTGTGACCTGCATCGCTGTACCTGGTCATGAGTGTGACCTGCATCGCTGTACCTGGTCATGAGTGTGACCTGCATCGCTGTACCTGGTCATGAGTGTGACCTGCATCGCTGTACCTGGTCATGAGTGTGACCTGCATCGCTGTACCTGGTCATGAGTGTGACCTGCATCGCTGTACCTGGTCATGAGTGTGACCTGCATCGCTGTACCTGGTCATGAGTGTGACCTGCATCGCTGTACCTGGTCATGAGTGTGACCTGCATCGCTGTACCTGGTCACGAGTGTGACCTGCATCGCTGTACCTGGTCACGAGTGTGACCTGCATCGCTGTACCTGGTCATGAGTGTGACCTGCATCGCTGTACCTGGTCATGAGTGTGACCTGCATCGCTGTACCTGGTCATGAGTGTGACCTGCATCGCTGTACCTGGTCATGAGTGTGACCTGCATCGCTGTACCTGGTCATGAGTGTGACCTGCATCGCTGTACCTGGTCATGAGTGTGACCTGCATCGCTGTACCTGGTCATGAGTGTGACCTGCATCGCTGTACCTGGTCATGAGTGTGACCTGCATCGCTGTACCTGGTCATGAGTGTGACCTGCATCGCTGTACCTGGTCATGAGTGTGACCTGCATCGCTGTACCTGGTCACGAGTGTGACCTGCATCGCTGTACCTGGTCATGAGTGTGACCTGCATCGCTGTACCTGGTCATGAGTGTGACCTGCATCGCTGTACCTGGTCATGAGTGTGACCTGCATCGCGGTACCTGGTCATGAGTGTGACCTGCATCGCTGTACCTGGTCATGAGTGTGACCTGCATCGCTGTACCTGGTCATGAGTGTGACCTGCATGAGTGTGACCTGGTCATGAGTGTGACCTGCATGAGTGTGACCTGGTCATGAGTGTGACCTGCATGAGTGTGACCTGGTCATCGCTGTACTCTTCTCATGAGTGTGACCTGCATCGGCCTTGGACCCTGCATCGCTGTACCTGATCACTCTCTTCTCTCCTCAACTTGCCCTTCTTTCCTTCAATAGTCCATGCCTTGTTTTATCTCCACCCCCCTCTCCTTCCTCTCCCTCCCCTCTTTCCCACCCACCAGGTGTGCATGTTCGCCTTTGATCTGCTCTACCTCAACGGCCAGCAGCTGCTCACAGAGAACCTCGCACGCCGGAGAGAGGTGAGGCAAGTTAGGACAGGCCAGTCCAGGATGGCTGGTTGCTTTGGTGTAGGAGCCGTGATGTTTTTCAATATTTCAAGACGTTCGAATAACCCAGTTCTTAGAACCTTTGTGAGCGTGTTGTGAGAATTCTGAAGAAAAATGTGAAATCGTGGCTCTCAGAATCGTTAAGGCGCCTCAGAATTCGGTGTGCTTCCAGCAAGCTCGGATTAAAGCCTGTGAACCAATGTCTCACACCCAAATTCAACGGGTCTCCCGCAAGTCGTAACTTGCTGTCATATCTTCTTCCCTCTCACTCCTCTCCCCCATTTCTCTCTCCCTCCTCTCCCCCATTTCTCTCTCCCTCCTCTCCCCCATTTCTCTCTCCCTCCTCTCCCCCATTTCTCTCTCCCTCCTCTCCCCCATTTCTCTCTCCCTCCTCTCCCCCATTTCTCTCTCCCTCCTCTCCCCCATTTCTCTCTCCCTCGTCTCCCCCATTTCTCTCTCCCTCCTCTCCCCCATTTCTCTCTCCCTCCTCTCCCCCATTTCTCTCTCCCCCGTGCAGCTATTGCTGGAGTCGTTTGAGCCAGCCAAGGGAGAGTTCCAGTTCGCCACATCCATCACGACCAACAAGGAGGAGGAGCTGCAGGCGTTTTTTGACGACGCTGTCAACCACAGGTGGGGTGTTGGTGTCATACAGGGGATGCTGGGGTATTAGGGACGGGCTGTGACTGCAGCCAACTGTAGCAAGGGGTTAAGGTACTAAGGCAGTTCCTTCCTTCCAGTTCGCCACGGCCATCACGACGAACAAGGAGGAGCGGCTGCAGGCGTTTTTTGGCGACGCTGTCAACCACAGGTGGGATGTTGGTGTCATACAGGGGATGCTGGGGTATTAGGGACGGGCTGTGACTGCAGCCAACTGTAGCAAGGGGTTAAGGTCCTAAGGCAGTTCCTTCCTTCCAGTTCGCCACGGCCATCACGACGAACAAGGAGGAGCGGCTGCAGGCGTTTTTTTACAACGCTGTCAACCACTGGTGGGGGACGTGTGGTGTGGTGATAGGGCAAAATGTTGCGGTATCAGCTGCATCACATCACATGTGGCAGTTCCTTCCAGTTCGCATGTAGCACCACACGTGTGCCACATGTGATATCAGCTGCATCACATGGGGCAGTTCCTTCCAGTTCGCTCTGTGTGGCCATGGTTCCGGCCATCACCAGCAACAAGGAGGAGGACATGTGTAGCAGCACCATACATTCTTTGACGGTGCCATCAACCATAGTAGGTAGGGGACGAGCGTGGGGCGGTGGGTTTGTAGGGGTCACAACTGGGAGAAGGTGTTGACGGCGAAAGACGGTGGACGGACGTGGAATGGACTGTGCTTATGCCCTTGCTCCCCCACCTCCCTCCCCCTCTGCCTCTTCCCTCGAACCCCCTTCTCGCTCCCCCTTCTCGCTCCCCTTTCTCTCTCTCCCCACCCGTGGCGGCTGTGAGGGCGCGCTGGTGAAGACCCTGGACGTGGATGCAACATACGAGCCGTACCTGTCGTCGTGACCCCTCTCTGCTGCTTACCTGCCCTCTCTGTGCCTGTATCTCCCCCCTGGCAGCTGCGAGGGCGCCATGGTGAAGACCCTGGACGTGGATGCAACATACGAGCCGGCCAAGAGGAGCAACAACTGGCTCAAGCTCAAGAAGGACTACATGGAAGGGTGCGGTGGGGTGGGCTGCGGTTGGGAGGGGTGTGAGCCGAGCACCTGTGTGTGGTGGTGGGGTTGGGAGGATGTGATGTGAGCACATGTGTGTGAGTGCACTGACGCTGATCATATCGAGCCTGTCAGCGCCTTACACCCCGATCTGCCCCCCCCACCATCCTGGGCAACTCGTGGGACTTCGTTTTCAACCGGGAGTTCCATGTGGTTCCTGCGCTCATGACCCTTTTTGCTTGCATGCGCTCGCTCGCTCGCGCCCTTCTTCGCACATTGCCCCACTACCCCACGACCATGTCTCCCGAACGCCCCCCCCCACCAAGCTGGGCAACTCCTTGAACATCATCCCCATAGGGGCCTTCCACATGGTTCCTCTATTCGTCCTTCCCATATTTCCCATCTGCTCACGCACTACCCTCTTCTCCCAACGCTCCACTGTCCAGTTCCAAATGCATCCACCCCCCTTCAGTCTGGCCGACTCCTTGGACCTGGTCCCCATCGGGGATTTTCACGTAGAGTGGTGCCTTGTGATCCCTTACTCTTCTCCCTCACTCTCTTCCACCGTGACAGGCTGGTCCTTGAGGATTCTTAAAACCAGCTTCTCCCTTACTTCCATCACTCCGCGCCGCCCCCATGATGCCTCTGGTCCCCCCCCTTTAGTCTGGGCGACTCCTTGGACCTCGTGCCCATCGGGGCCTTCCACGGCCGTGGCAAGCGAACAGGTGAGAGGCGGCGAACAGGTGAGACGATGGCGAACAGGTGAGAGGCGGCGATCAGGTGAGACGATGGCGAACAGGTGAGAGGCGGCGATCAGGTGAGAGGCGGGGTGCAGTGATGGTGAATGCGGTGGGACGATGGATCACGGGGTAGGTTGATTTGTACGGGACAGGTTGGGGTGATGAGGGTTGGGATGGGGTCTGATGCGCTTCTCATGAAATAAAAAACGTGCCTCTCCTTTATCACTGAATCACAACAGAGTCGTGTATTTTCAGTCAATTCTTGATTTGCACAATGACCAGCACACTTCGCTAATGTGTACAGTGCCTTCCATGTGCAATAGCGTCGAATACATTTCATGTTCCATGATTATACTCTTTTGTAAACATGTGTATTTTGTGCCTTCCTCCTTGCCTGTTGACCCGGAAGTGGAGGAGAAGCAGCGCATCTGCAAGATGTCATGTTCTTCCTTCCCCTTAATCAAATTATATCACATCTACTTCAACAGGAGTGTTTGGGGCCTTCCTCCTGGCGTGCTACGATCCCGACACGGAGGAGTACCAGTCCATCTGCAAGATCGGCACCGGCTTCTCTGAAGCAGCGCTGGAGGAGCGCTCTGCATCGCTGCGCAAGCGAGTCATTGACAAGCCGCCTGTGAGTGCAGTGTGTGTTGGGGGGTGGGGTGGAATGGGGTGGGGTTGGGTGTGGTAGGGTGTGCTGTGGTGTGCCATTAAGTGGTGTGCTGTGGTGTGACGAGTATGCTGGGTGTTGAGAATTCTCAGAGACTCAACGACCCAGACACGGGGGAGTACCAGTCCATCTGCAAGATCGGCACCGGCTTCTCTGAAGCAGCGCTGGAGGAGCGCTCTGCATCGCTGCGCAAGCGAGTCATAGACAAGCCGCCTGTGAGTGCACTGGGGGGTGGGGTGGGGTGGGGTATGGTGGGCTGGTGTGAGGTGTGTGGGAGTGTGGTGGCATGTGGTGTGGTTTGATGTGGTACCCTGCCCATCGGTGCAACACCCTTCTCACGCAGCGCAGTCTGAATGGCATATTGTACTGTTTGTGTGCGTTACTCTCCACTTTTCCACTCCCTTACTCCAAAACCTTTGATTGCCCATCAAGCCCAGCCCTACTACCGCTACGGGGAGACGCTAGGAGTGGAAGTGTGGTCTAAGCGTACAGCCCAATCATTGCCTGCCCCTTTGCCGAACTTGCTCCTCGTCCCCCCCTCCCATACACCCAGGCCTACTACCGCTACGGGGAGACACTAGGAGTGGAGGTGTGGTTCGAGCCGTCAGAGGTGTGGGAGGTTCGGGCGGCAGATTTGTCCATTAGTCCTGTGCACCGGGCGGCAGTGGGCCACGTGAATGAGACGAAAGGGATTGCGCTGCGCTTCCCCCGGTTCCTGAGGCTGCGAGATGATAAGAGCGCAGAGCAAGCTACGTCCAGTGAACAGGTGAGAACTTCAGGGTGGGTGGGGGAAAAGGGGGAAGGTGGGTGTGGGAAGGGGGGAGCGGGTGTGAGATGGGGAGGGATGACAAGAGCACGCAGGAGGCAACTACTTAGTGCAATAGATTAGCAGTATGAGGAGTTTAGGAGGGGCTGTAATGGGGGACTGTCTCTCTTGTGATCTCTCATCCCATTTGTGGTCTATTTGTCAGGCATTTCAGCAGCAAGTAAACAAGGTTGCACATAGCTTTGTGTGTCGTGTAATATCTCTGCTATGTGTGGTCCTGTGCGTCTGCCCGGCCCCACAGGTTGCTCAGATGTACAACGCACAGAAGATCAACCACGCAGGCGGCAGGGGCAAAGACGATTAAAGCCAGCTTCAGAAACCCCAACAGCCTCCTCAAGCGACCTCATCCCAGCAGATTAATAATGCCAGCAGCCCAGCTAGCTGTTAGTAAGGATGTCAGACAACCGCGATTTATAAAATGGTTGTACTATTTTACAGCACGGACCTACACCCAGTACTTGGGAACTGGGTCTTCCAGTGAAGCAGAGTGAAAGTCAAAGTAGTCAAGGCTGGCATACTGCTTCAGCGCCAGCAGGAACCGGTCCCTGTCAGGGAATGTGCGCCTGGCAGATGGCTGCTGCCACATGGCAGCCATCCATTGGGTGACGAGTGGGTGGTCAGGAGCAAAGAGTTCGCCTCGGATTCCTTCTGTGACTAGCTGGAAGCGGGCGAGGAAGGGGAAGAGCACCACGTCAGCCTGCCATGGCGCATGGGTGAAGAGGAGACGGGTGAAGTGGAGACAGATGCAGGTGAGCCTGGGCTGGGAAATTTGCGACACCACATATTGACATGCTTCACACGCATGTGCTTCCTTGTAGCGCGAGAGTAAGAAGCAATTGTTCAACAGCCCATGTCAATGCAGTTTGTTTTCACGTACCAGAGAAAGGTCTGCACCCATCAAGAATGGTCCCTGTGATTGGCGTACAGCCTCTTCTAGTGAGTCGAGGGCTTTCCTCCACTCGCCTTGCACCCGCGCATTCCCCCCTCCCCTGCTGCCCCTTTTGGTGTTGATAGCCCACAAGCGCTCAGACCCTGCCACCATTGCTAGGCCCTGAGACAGGGTGGTGGTGGTGGTGGGAAGGGGGGGGGGGGGGGGGGGAGGTTTGCTGGTGTTGTATGAATGCGTGCAGGTGTGGTGAGTTGGGAAGCCCCTGCAGAGGATGACAGGTTGGAGAATTGTTGGAATTCTTCAATCTGAAATCTATCTGCAGAGGATAAGATATATGAATGAATATTATAACTTACAGCGTGAATGATGGAGTCGGCCTTCCCTAGAAGGCGCTCCATGGCTCTGCTGCTCTCTGCCCCTGAAGGCACCAGAGGCACTTGGGGGAAACGCTCGTCCAGAAACCTGCAAATGTCCATGCTTTCTGTGACCACTTGGCCGCTCACAGCCACAGCTGGCACCAGACCACGCGGATTCACGGAAAAGTACCTGCATGTACAGGTAGTGCCCGTAGAAAGGAGGATATGAGGAAAAGGAGAAGGGTAACAGGCAGCAGGAGAGTGCAGTGATTGGCAATGAAGGGTTGCCTGTAAGCAAGTAGTACCATGAAGGCTTGTTGGAGAGGTCAATGTGTATGCTCTTGTAGTCCACGTCTGACCCACAGACAAAAAACAGTCACATTTCCAAGCCTGGCTCACAAACAACCAGCAGTCACAATGTTGGAGCGAAAGCTGTTGGAAGAGAGAAAAACAAGAATCAGAACGGCGTGGGTCGTTCGTACCCTTGGCCTCCAGCGTGATCGCCACTCGCTGCGCGTACGGACACAGGCTGTGCGTGTAGAAGGTAACGTCTGGCTCGTCCGCTTGTGTGCCTTGGGGTTCCTTGCATTGAGCGTCCTTGTCATTTTGGCCTTCATGGCCCAACCAACTCGCAGCGGCTCGAGCGGCCGGTCGGCGCCTGGAACCTGTCATTGCGCTCTGTTTTTGCCTGGTACCCGAATTTGACCGTTGCGACCCGGTGAATGCCGCAGGCGTACGGTGAGAAGCGGTTGTGATGACTGTGCAGGTTGAAGTGTACAAGGAAGATGGATCTAGAGCGGTACGGACGGAAAGGCTGAATCGTGATACCATCTTTCACTAAAGCCAAGGCAGGATTCGTTACAGTCACGCGTGGAGACTAACTGTGAGAGCGCATCTAGCTTCGTGAACTAATCTGAGGAGTAATCGTGACTAGTAGTACGAAGCTCCTACTAGGACTGGTAAATTGCCACGGGAACAGCTACCGAAGCCGATCGCCCCTCACCGCTCAAGCCTGTCAGATCGGTTATGCGGAATGACAAGTTCGAGGTCGCTGTGATCGCCAGAAAATGTGTTTACTGGAGGACGAAAATTAGTGTGATGGTTACAAATTCCGTCGTCCATCGCTGGAGCATTTGTTTATCCTTGTACAAAAGCGTCGCCGTCAAGCTTCTAGAATCTTCAACAGCCAAATTCCGGACTATTTCCGGATATTGCAAGGAATGGAACGGAACTGATCAATGCGTGTGATCATAAAAACACGACGGTATCTTCATCACCCCCAACATCCTCTGCTCCTTCGAATCTACCCGCTGATGATTTGCAGTCGTTAGCACCTCCCTTCAATCACTCGATTTGCGTGGTGATAATTTATCAACAACTAGACCTCGTCGATCGTCTGCGCGTCTCGTTCCGTTCCAATCCCCTCGTTGCTTTCGGATCCCGTGGACATGGCGAATCCGCGCGTGTACTTCGACGTGTCGATCGGCGGCGAGCCGGAGGGTCGCGTGGTGATGGAGCTGTTCAAAGACGCCGCGCCAAAGACGGTCGAGAATTTCCGCGCGCTCTGCACGGGGGAGAAGGGCGTCGGAACGAGCACCGGCTTGCCGCTTCATTTTAAAGTGGGTCTCGCTCTCCACTATACTTCATTTTTCTCGAATTTCACAAAAGCTGATTTGATCCGTCTCATCCTCCTCCATCGAGAGATGTGTAACAAACAGCTTGATATTCCACAGCACGTTATAAGCAATACTGGATTTATGACAAGTGGCGTCTTAGCGTCTCATTGGAGTCGAAAGGCCCGCCAGTTTACGTCTATTCCCCCCCTCCCTCCTCTTTCGTCTCCCCTCTCCGCTCTCCGCTCTACCTCTCCCGTTTCAAACAATTCCAGGGCTGCCCGTTCCACAGAGTCATCAAGGGCTTCATGATGCAGGGGGGTGACTTCTCCAACAAGAACGGCACAGGGGGGGAGTCAATTTACGGGGAGAAGTTTGAGGACGAGCCTGGGGGCTTGGCGCTCAAGGTATGAATGGCGAGTAAGGAGCCAGTTTTCTTATTGACTGAGAGCAGCACAGGAGTGGAGTCGATCTACGGGGAGAAGTTTGAGGACGAGCCTGGGGGCTTGGCGCTCAAGGTATTATGCTATTATGACTTTGAAAGTAATGATATAATCCCCAGTCACCATGCTTTCTTTTCTGGCTTTGATTCCTTGGACGCTTATGCCTATAGGGTCATGCTAGAGACGGTGGTTGAATCTTATCTGTGAACTGGCTCGAAAGTCATCATTCTCTCCCATCCACCCTTCATCATCATCTCATCTCCTAATAGGCACCGCTTCTTATTAATGAGCTGAGCAAATCCACACCTTTCCCATCCTGACCACACTCCACCGCAGCATGACAAGCGTGGGGTTCTATCCATGGCGAACAGCGGGCCTGGCACGAATGGCAGTCAGTTCTTCATCACATATGGCCCCACGCCGCATCTAGACGGCAAGCACTGCGTGTTTGGGCGGGTGCTGCGAGGAGGACAGGTGAGGAACAAAGAGTGATATATGTTTATGAAGGGTATGCAGAAAGATGCTTTCAGGTTTACCTGACCTATTTCAAAGTGGCGTCGGCATTGGCTTCACGTGAAGTTTCATCGGAAGCACTTGCATTTGGATCAAAAGGCCAGACAAGCAGGAGGGCAGGCTGGAGAATGACAGAGACTGAATTTGAACCGCTGCATGCCTGCTAGTGGTTGTGTTTGTTGTAAGGAAGCTATTGTGAGTGGCTCTTCACTATGTACTAAAAAGTAGGCGAAGTTCGCTTATCTCTGTTCTCTTCTGTTTGACCAATCAGGTGCTTCGAGCAGTGGAGATCACACCCACCGACGGTTCAGATCGTCCGTTGAGCGACGTCGTAATCGACGATTGTGGCGAGCTGGCAGAGGGGGAGGACGATGGCACCATGAACCACCCTGTGAGTGGGAACTGGGAGAGAGGGGGGGAGGGGGGGAGGGGGAAAGGGTAGGGCAGATGAAGTGATGCAATGTGAGGATTAATATGCAGGCACGGCAAGTTGGTGGGGTGCCTCGTTTCCCTCATGCCAACTACAGCCCCATTTGAGGCGCCTCAAAACTAGGTTTCCCTCATGCCAACTACAGCCCCAATTCCCCGTGTCCATCCGTTGGTGTGTGAATGGCAGGACGGAGACAAGTACCCCGACTGGCCCAGTGACTTGGACGAGAGGCCCACGGAGTGGCAGTGGTGGGTGGAGGCAGTCAAATCAATCAAAGACCTTGGCACCACGCACTTCAAGGTGAGAGGGACGCACTTGAAGGTGACAGGCGAAGCGTTCCAAGGTGAGAGCCGGAGCACTTGAAGGCAAGGTAAGCGACTGGTCACCCGTTTCAGGTATGGAAAGAATGCAACGTGATTTCTGATCAAGGGCTTAATATTCCAGGGCGACGCAGGTGTTCAGGCATTTCAAAACAGAATCTGAAGTAGTCTTGCACGCATTGACGTCCATCACATCCGCCCCCTTGGCAGAACGGCGACTACCGCATGGCATTTCGGCGGTACCGCAAGGCCATGGTGTATTTGGACAAGGCATGGGACATGAAGGACATCCCTGGAGGTGTGCTTGTGAGATATGTTGGTTCCCAGCAAGCTCTTTTTGCCACTCGGGTTCTAGGTTGTGTGTGTTGTCTTTTGAGTCGACTCAAAGGTTATCCTTGAAAGTATGCCTGTGAAATTTGCTGGTTCCTAGCAAGCTCTTTTTGCCTCTCGGGTTTTTTTGGGTGTGTTGTGTAGCCTAGCCTAGTGGTGTCTCCTGGCTGGTTAGCCTAGTGGCATTTGTTATCTGCTTGGTGCCAGCCTCCTGAAGATGCCGTTCTTTAATTTTGAAGTTTGTGTTGGGTTCCTGCACTTGTTAGCCGCCGAGTGCAAGCAAGGCCATGGGGCAGCGTGTTGTCGTCGCCCATCTCGTCTCTCGTCGCACCATGCTGCATGTTCATCTTCTTTCCTTCACCAATCGTGTCCCCTCTTCCTCGTGCCTGTTATCAGAGACTCTGGAGGAGCTCCACACCATACGGGACGCCCTTCTCAACAATTACGCGGTGAGGAACGGTTGGTTGTGGGCTGTGTGAGGTGTGCGATGTGGGGTGTGGAGGTGTAATGTCTCCTGTCCTCCTGCCTGTTATCAGAGACCCTGGAGGAGCTTCACACGATCAGGGACGCCCTTCTGAACAACTACGCGGTGAGGAGCAGTTCGTTTATGAAGGCAAATGTATTTTCTAGCCAAAAAGAGATGTTTCTGGTTGTACTCAAAACCTCTTGGCCATCCTGTTTTCACTTGAGTAACAAACAGGGACCCCTGTCAAGCAGGGATGGATCTGTGGGTGGGTCTCAGTCCACTCTATACATCACACCCTTCTCAACGTGATGAGGGGTTAGCTGTGAGGAGCTGGGGGGTGTGAGAGGGTTGAGAGGGTGCAGCTTCAACGATTCTTTCCCACCCGTTGTGGTGTGTCACTTGGTGTTCCTCTCCCAGGCGTGCAAGCTGAAGCGCGGGGACTTTGACGGTGCCATTGAGGACAGCAGCTCCGTGCTGTCGAGAAACGAGAACAATGCCAAAGCACTCTTCAGACGCGCCCAGGTACGAACGTGTCTTTCTCTAGGCCCCTTTTCCTCTCAACAGGGTAGATTGTGAATCACAGATATTCCCTTTTTCGCTTGAAGAGAATCCATGTGTGCTTATGCATGAACATCTCTGTTTGTTTTGTGGCTTGGCAGGCATATTTGGGTCGCAATGAGTTGGAACCAGCAATTGCTGACCTGACACAGGCACTGAAGGTTGAACCAAACGATGGTATGTTTAATGAGGCTCACCTTATCGCCGGGATTGTTGGCATTGCTGCGACTACATCATCTCCATCGCGCTGGGGTGTAATTAATGTTGTTGTGCATTCTTATTGATGAGCAGGTGGAATCAAAAGAGAGCTTGCGGCTGCCAAGAAGAAGGTGAGTAATTGCAGGATAGTGAGATTTTATCATTTGAGATGATAAATCATGTTTGATGTTTCTCTTTCCTTGCAGCTGGCAACAAGAAAGGAAAAGGAGAAGGCTGCATATGCTAAAATGTTTAGTTGAGGAGCAAGAAATAGCACATCTGAAAGCGGTTTATTACATCAATTCGTTTTGGACCTGTGGAGCAATGATCTGGTTCATCAAAGCTGGTTGGTCGCAAAGCCGCCGCCAAATGACTGAGTTATGAAAAAGTTGCTGCGTCAGCAGAGCAGCAGATGAGGTGTAGGGTAGGACCTGAACACTTTTTGATGGCGGTCCTTCGAATCCAATCAGATGCGTCGAAGAATACACCCGCTCAGCCTTTTTCCATTGGATAACACCGCCAAACTTAGAGCTGCCAATTCGCCGCGCCTCAGTGTTGTTTTCGCCAGCTGGTTACCACACCTTTAAGTGACAGTACACACCTGATGCACACATCATCTTGGCTGCAGGAGAGCCTTAGTTCTTATTGATGCGCACTTACTCCTCATAAGTTCTTATTTGACCTTAGCTGCTGTCGCGTCGTCGAATCCCCGAGTGACGGACGAGAAACCTGTACTGTACACGGCTTTGCTGCCTAGGAGGGTCGTTACAGCACTATAGGAAGGGAATTCCACGGTATCGACTATTTCGATTCGCCATGTAGCAAGGGTTTGCCGAACGATGACATGCGTACAAATGGCAGAGTTTAGAGACTCGAATACCTCAAAACATTTTTTCATGGCGGTGATTAGCCATGTCGATGGCAGACGTCGAGGCTAGGCTGTGTAGGACCAGCCCTTAGTTCGTCAACGTCATCGTTTAGTCTATTAATTGTCCTTTCCGTCAGCTTCTGTTTTCAACTGAGGGTATCTTTCTCCTCGTGTTACAAATAGCGCCATTCAGCAACATGGCCGATTTAAAGACGGATTTGAAAAAGCCACTGCTTCCCCCGCGCAGACCCCCCGTACCCATAATCAACCCCCCACAACCTCCCCCAGCCGGCGGTCTCTCCGCCGTTCTCCCCGCCCCCCCGCCGCAATCTCAGTTCCGCCTAGGCGGAAAGCCACCACCTGCTCCAGCTCCCTCCACCGCTCCATTATCCCCGCACCTCTCGCCGCTACTCACGCCGCATTTCACGGGCGCTGGCGCCAGTAGGGACCTAGGATCCGCCTCGTCCGCTTCCGGCTCGATAGCGTCAGGGGGAACGGGAACCAGCGCGGTCGCCAACGGCGTGCGGGGAGGCGGAGGCGGAGGGTTAGGGGGAGGTGGAGCGGTAGGCGGAGGGTTCGGGGGAGCGGGGGCTCCGCCTCCTCCGCCCGTGGGGCCGAAGAAGAAGCGCGGGCAGGGCGTGCGGTCGTGGATTAGAATCGACCCGTCGGGGGAAGTTAGCATCCTGGAAGTGGACAAAGGCACTCTCATGCGCCGGTGAGTGAGGGAGAGGGGGAGAATTGGCAGAGGGAGGAAGGGAGGGAGGGAAAGGGAGGAAGTGGAGAACAGGGACAAGAGTTATTCGGTTAGGAATGGACAAAGGGGAAACAGAGGGGAGAAATTTATTCGGTACTTTGCAAGTGTTTGTAGAGAGGTATTGACTTGTCAGTCTGTGCGTTTCCCTTTCCATCATCAGATATGACCTGCCGGGGCGAGACCTGCGCCTGCAGGGCCCTTTGTTCGTGTACCCGTCCATCATCCTGGGGCGAGAGCACGCAGATAGACGCGTCTACAGCCCCCTTTCCCAGGTCCAACCCCCCCTTAATCCTTTCCACCACTCTCCACCGCCAGATGCGACCTGCCTGGGCGAGACCTGCGGCTGTTGGACCCAGTGTTTGTGTATCCGTCCACCATCTTAGGGCGAGAGCGAGCAATGGTGGTCAATCTGGAGAGCATTCGCTGCATAATCACTGCGGACGAGGTGCTCCTGTTGAATGTCACCGACCCTGCTGTGCAGCAGGTAGGCACTGTGTGGGGCACGATATGGTTCAAGCATGGGTGCGGTGGTGGTGAGTGGGCATCTGGAGAGCATTCGCTGCAGCATCACTGCGGACGAGGTGTTTTGAGACGTCTCAAAACACACATCATCACTGCGGACGAGGTGCTCCTGCCCAATGTCACTGACCCTGCTTTGCAGCAGGTAGGCACGTGTGAATTGGGGATTTGCAATGCAGAGTGACGTCCGTTTCCCGTCCACTTTTCACATCCACACACCCTCCAACCCACAGTTCAAGCAAGCAGCTGGGCATGGCTGAAAAATCTCCCTCACTTCCCTCCTCCTGAATTTCCAATCCCCCCTTGCACATCTCCACCCCTCCTTCCCCCTTCACCCCTTGGGCCTCACCCTGCAGTTCAAGCAAGCTTTGCAGCGGCGGCTACTGCTGGGCATGGCTGCTCCCTCCGTCCTCAGCTCAGCGTGGCTTCCATTTCTCTAGCTACCACTTTTCGCATCCACACACCCCCCCCTTTCCCCCCTCCATCCCCCCACCCTGCAGTTCAAGCAGGCACTGCAGCGGCGGCTGCTGCTGGGCATGGCTGCGCCCTCCGACTTCAGAGTGGCGTGGCGGTGAGCCATGGGGTTGAGGGGAGGGTGGGGGTGTGGTGAGGTTGGGAAAGGGAGTCTAGGGGTGGTGGGGCGTGGCGGTGAGCCGTGGGGTTGAGGGGAGGGTGGGGGTGAGGTTGGGAAAGGGAGTCTAGGGGTGGTGGGGCGTGGCGGTGAGCCGTGGGGTTGAGGGGAGGGTGGGGGTGAGGTTGGGAAAGGGAGTCTACTTTTGAGTCGACTCAAAAGTCAACTCAGAGTGGCGTGGCGGTGAGCCATGGGGTTGAGGGGTGGGTGGGGGTGAGGTTGGGAAAGGGAGTCTAGGGGTGGTGGGGCGTGGAGTTGAGGGGTATTGATGGATGGAAATTATGCAATCCCACTGCAGCCCCTCGCTTGCTGCTTTAAATCCCAGTCTGGACTACTGCTCACTCATTCTCCTCTGCCTCTCTCGTTTCCCGCCACCCCACCCCTTCCCCTTCTCCGCCTCTTCCTCCCCCCTGCTCCCGACCTTCCACGCCTCATCATGTCAGTCACTCTATCTGTCTTGCTTTTCCGTGTGCTCCAGAACTGAGAGACCAGGCGAGAATGGCTTCACACTCGATGCTCCAGACGCCACCATTCAGAGGTGAGTGAGGGGGCACGCTGTCTGGCTGCTCGTGCAAGGGCGGTGCATACTAGGTGACTTTTGAGTCGACTCAAAAGTCACCTCATTCAGAGGTGAGGGGGCAAGCTTTCTGGCCGCTCGTGCAAGGGCAGTGCATACTTGTTGTTCTTCTTGGCTAAACTAGACCAGCTTAGTATGCAACGCAAACAGTGCGGGCTGGTTTTGAGGCGCCTCAAAAGTATACTTTGCTTAACCAGCTTGGTATGCAGCGCAGGCAGCACAGGCTGGTCTGATTCGATTTGTGTGTGTATCCTTCGCCTCTTATCCTGCTCCCCTCTGCTCTTCACCCCCTTCACCTCTCTTCACCGCTTTTCACTGCTCTTCACTGCTCTTCACTGCACTGCACCACTTTTCGCCGCTCTCCACCCCTTCCCCAGACGGGAGATCAGCAGTGAGGACATGTTCAGCGGGGCGGGCAGCACAGCAGAGGAGGACGACCTGCCCTTCGAGTTCAAGGCGCTTGAACTCGCACTCGAGCTCTCCTGCTCGGGCCTCGACCGCCAGGTTTGGATGCTAAAAAACCCTGAAAATCCCGTCTAGTTAGTTTAGTTAACGCGCTCAAGGTTGTGAAAGTAACAAAATTACTTCTTCCTTTCGAGTTCAAGGCGCTTGAACTCGCCCTTGAGCTCGCGCTTGAGCTCTCCTGCTCTTGCCTCAACCGCCAGGTCAGCCAGATGAAGTATGGCCGACATGTCATCCAGATGTATGGTCGGATGTATGGCGGACAGGTCAGCCAGATGTATGGTCGGATGTATGGCGGACAGGTCAGCCAGATGAAGTATGGTCGGATGTATGGCCGACAGGTCATCCAGATGTATGGTCGGATGTATGGCGGACAGGTCATCCAGATGTATGGTCGGATGTATGGCCGACAGGTCATCCAGATGTGTGGTCGGATGTATGGCCGACAGGTCATCCAGATGTGTGGTCGGATGTATGGCCGACAGGTCATCCAGATGTATGGTCGGATGTATGGCCGACAGGTCATCCAGATGTATGGTCGGATGTATGGCCGACAGGTCATCCAGATGTATGGTCGGATGTATGGCGGACAGGTCATCCAGATGTATGGTCGGATGTATGGCCGACAGGTCTACCATACATCTGGATGCACTTTTTTTTTGGGCATTTAGATGGCCCAATATTGAGTTGCAACTCAGAGTCAACTCAGAGAATTCTTGCCCTGGAGCTCTGCTCTCCTGCGCTGCTCTACACCAACAGGTCAAGTTCTGTTTTAGAGTTCTCTATTCATTTGCAACTCTGCACACGTGTTTCGCTGCCCACAGGCGCAGGAGCTAGCACAGGAGGCGTACCCGCTATTGGAGCGGCTGGCGTTTCAGATCAGCACCACCAACCTGGAGCTCGTGCGGCGCATCAAGAGCAGCCTGCTGGGTCTCACCCGCCGCGTGCAGAAGGTACCATCTCCCTCCCGCCCGGCCCCTCCCCAGCCCCCTCTATTCTATGTATGCCGCATTGACGCGTGCAGAAGGTACCATCCCCACCCACTCCGCCTTCCCCTCTGTCACATGCACATTTGCAGAAGGTATTTTTTTCCGCCCTCTCCTGCACTCTTCCTTCCCATCTGTGTGCATGCGGATTACCCTTTGTTACCGACCAATCCTGTCATACCTCCCTGCGCTGCCACTAACCGGTGCCCCTACCTACCTACATCCCCTGAGCAGTTGATGGGCGACGATGGAGACATGGCGGCGATGTACCTCACTCAGAAGCGCCCTGTCACCCCCTCTCACCCCTGCACACTCTCTCTCACCCCCTCTCGTTTCTTCTCCCACTTTGGCAGGTGAGGGACGAGATAGAGCAGCTGATGGACGACGATGGCGACATGGCAGAGATGTATCTCACTCAGAAGCGCCTGCTGGCAGAGGAGCGCAGCGAGAGCGAGCGGTTGGGGGGCCACCGCGACGATGGCAGCGACCACTCACACACACCCAGGGAGTCGCTTGGCGGGTTTGGGTCTTCCATCTCTGCTCCGGTCTCCCCTGCTGGCTCGCCGCCGAAACATGTAAGTCGGCCCGTTTAATTAGCTTTTTTTTTTTTTTTAGACGTCTTAAAACCAGGGTCTCAAGTACCACAAATGTTTTGCAGTTGATGGTTTGAGCTTGGCTGCTATTGGTTGACGAGGTGGAAAAAAACGAAAAGGGGTGCAGCGAGGGATGCGAAGGGAACTAAATCGTTTGCTGTGTTCCAAACCGACTAGGTATGGAAACAGGTTCGGAGCCAAAGCTACAGTGCCAGTGAAATGTCATGATTTGTCGAAAGTCAAATGTACCTGAAATTTGTTTTGCAATTGGTATTGAGGCAAAAGAGGGGGAGTGTTGCACGCCAACTTCCCTTTTGAGAATTCTCAAAAGCCAACCAGTCCACCTCGCCTACAAAAACGAGGTAATTCAAGCTTCAATTGTTTTGCAATTGATGGCAAAATCTCTTACTTGAGACCCTGGTTTTAAGATACAATCTTATCACACGTGGTTTGGGTCTTCTTTGACCTCTGCTCCCACGTCCCCAGCTGGCTCTCCACCGAAACATGTAAGTTGGCTCGTTTTTTGAGGAGCCTCAAAAGTTAGAGGCTCCTCAAATAACGAGAAGCTGATGGATGGGGGTCCAGCACGTGGTTCTGGAGCGGGGCGCATAGCGCCAGCGACAGCATGGCAACGAGCATGGAGAACGTGGAAGAGCTGGAGATGCTGCTGGAGGCATACTTTGTGGTCATTGACGGCAACCCTCGAATGTACCTTCAATAAATAGGGCGTGATATGTACAGCACATTAATAGCACAGCCATACAAACAGGGCAGGGCGATCTAGGGCATCTCGAGCTCGGGCTCGAGAACGTGCATGAGGTCGCCCGTGCATAGGGGCTCCCCCTCGATGACGGTTGGGGCTGACCCGGCCTCAAACGCCGTCAGTGTCTTGGCAGCTAGTGCTGATGCCTGCGCGCGTTGGAGGGTGATGGACCAACGCTGCCGGTAGGAATGATAAATCTTCGCCGCCTCCCTCGAGGCGGGCTCGGCGTTATGAAGGCGCTTGGCGGCCAGGTTTGCGCACAGGCGGAGGAACTCAAGCACTCCTGGAGAGCAGTGCCCGTACGTCTCTACAGCCATCGCAAAGAAGCCGACCCACGGCGCTCGGTTGCGGTACTTGTGTTCTTTGCCCCGGGCTCTACCCACCCCCGTACCTTTCCCCCACCCAACCCCACCAACCCCTCGCCAACAACCACCAGGAAAGGCTCTACTTGGACGGGCGGCCGTCGGGCCTGGGTGCAGCACCGCCGTCCATCAGCTTCTGGAGCGGCGCTCACAGTGCGAGTGACAGCACAGTTACAAGTGTCGAGAACGTGGAGGAACTTGAGATGCTGCTGGAGGCATACTTTGTGGTGATTGACGGCAACCCTCTACCTTTCCCCCACCCAACCCCACCAACCCCTCTCCAACAACCACCAGGAGCGGCACTACTTGGACGGGCGGCCGTCGGGCCTGGGTGCAGCACCGCCGTCCATCAGCTTCTGGAGTGGCGCTCACAGCGCCAGCGACAGCACGGCAACATCTGTTGAGAATGTGGAGGAACTAGAGATGCTGCTGGAGGCATACTTTGTGGTGATTGACGGCACTCTCAACAAGCTGACGCAGCTGTCGCAATACATTGACGACACAGAGGATTTCATCAACATTCAACTGGATAACGTGCGGAATCAACTGATTCAATTTGAGCTCATCATGACCACCGCTGGTGAGTGTTTGGTTCCCTGCTGGTGGGTGGTCGACATGTGCCTTTGTTGTGGTGATTGACGGCACACTCAAGAACGATCAACAGGCTCAGCATGCCTGGGCTGGGTCTGCAAGTCTCAACAAGCTCAGCAATAAGCTGACGCAGCTGTCGCAGTACATTGACGACATGGAGGACTTCATTAATATTCAGCTGGATAATGTTCGGAACCAGCTCATTCAGTTTGAGCTCATCATGACCACCGCTGGTGAGTGTCTGGCTGGCTCGTGAATGGCTCCTGTCTTGTGCTGCTGGGTGTGTAAGTACACATCACTACAAATCACTACGCATCTTTCTCTTTTCCACAATATCCTGTTCCTGTTCCACCCCGCACCTCTCACACAACGCCATGGCAGGGTTTGTGGTGGCGCTGTGGGGGGTGATAGCGGGCACGTTTGGGATGAATGTGCCGCTGGGGTTGGAGGAGGATCCGTACGCCCTCAAGTGGATCCTCATTGACTCGGGCGTGGGCGGTGTCCTCATCTTCCTCGCGTTCCTCGCATTCTTCCGATACAAGAACTGGACCATCACATGACGTGAGCACTGATCAGTGTCTTCCTCACTGAGCACTGATCTTCACAAAAAGGCTCCTCCTCCTCCTCCTCCTCCTCACGTTCCTCACCTTCCTCCTCATCTTTCTCGCCTGCCTCGCCTTCTTCTGATCACGTGGCATGAGCAGACAGCGTGACAGGAGAATGGTAGATGGGGGAGCCAGCAGACAGCGAGTTTCACATCCAAACTTTGGAATGGCAGCAGCAGCCATCATGAGCATTGGACTGGAGCCGGCGTGTGACCTGACCTGGTTTGAGCTCCCGTGATATGTAACATAGTCACAGAAATGTTGCGGTACACGCACAAGCACAAGCACAAGCGCTGTTGTAAAGAAAGGCCTTCATGGGCACAGGATATTGGATGGCATAGGTTTACACCATGATAACTGCCATAACTCATGGCAATAAATGCAAAATGACATTCTCTGTATTTAGGCAACAAGTACCAGCTCATCCTGTTGCAGAGAAAGTTTTGAGGAATCTAAGAATGCACAACTACAACATTGCACCTTATACATGCTTTCTACTACATATGCGAGGGCAAATCTGGCAGCCTAGGAAGATTCAAAGAGGCGGTTAGCGAGCGCTTGTGTGAGGACTAATGGGAGGGGATCGTGTTGCTGGTTAGCTAAGCCGCTGATTGCCACATGGCGGGTTTGAGCTGGGCAATGATTACTGTCATGTTATCCAGGCCTAGAGGCGACGAGTGAGCATCCTTGGCGATGCATGCATCCATGAGCTGTGCACATATGTCCGTTAGGGGTACCTGGGAGGGGCAAGTACAGGAGGAAATGATGCAAAGGCATGAGTAGATGGTGAGTTCATGAGGTCCATGAGGTGACTGAATGATGCATGCATCCATGAGCTCTGCACATATGTCGGCTAGGGGTACCTGGGAGGGGGAAAGGGAACGAGTGTGATGAAAGAGAGAAGACGATGAGGCGACGAGTATGAAATAGACTAGATGGAAGAAATGTATGATGATGATGAAGAGTGTGCATCCTTAATGATGCATGCATCCATGAGCTGTGCATACATCCATGAGCTGTGCATACATCCATGAGCTGTGCACATATGTCCGTTAGGGGTAGCTGGGGTGGGGCAAACACAGGATGAAATGATGAGAAGTTAGACTAGATGGTAACGAAATGTTACAAGTGAATGCCTGTCTAATCCAGGGAGCCGTCATGCTCCCATGTCCCAATCATCTCAAGCACACAGCTTCCTCCTCCGCCATCTACACACTTCACCTCCGCCCTCACCTCTTTGGCCAGCCTTGACCGCACAAAGGTGACCACTGCTTGGCTTGACATCACGTCCCTGCAATCAAGCAAGCAAGCAGGCAGGCAGGCAGGCAGGCAGGCAGGCAGGCGTACGGGTGGGCGGGCAGGCGGGCGGGCGGCAGGCGGGCAGACGGGCAGGCGGGCAGGCGGGCGGGTAGGCGGGTCAGAAGCAGATAGGTGAGGGGGAGAGATTAACACTAAGCACTGCACATGAGCAACACTAAGCACTGCACATGAGCAACACAAAGCACTGCGCATGAGCAACACTAAGCACTGCGCATGAGCAACACTAAGCACTGCGCATGAGCAACACTAAGCACTGCGCATGAGCAACACTAAGCACTGCGCATGAGCAACACTAAGCACTGCGCATGAGCAACACTAAGCACTGCGCATGAGCAACACTAAGCACTGCACATGAACAACACTAAGCACTGCGCATGAGCAACACTAAGCACTGCGCATGAGCAACACTAAGCACTATGAGCAACACTAAGCACTGCGCATGAGCAACACTAAGCACTATGAGCAACACTAAGCACTATGAAGGACCACTAAGCACTATGAAGGACCACTAAGCACTATGAAGGACCACTAAGCACTATGAAGGACCACTAAGCACTATGAGCAACACTAAGCACTATGAGCAACACTAAGCACTATGAGCAACACTAAGCACTATGAGCAACACTAAGCACTATGAGCAACACTAAGCACTATGAAGGACCACTGGAGTTGAAGGCATCTGAGCCAGCACAAGCCTGAATGTGTTTCCTTGTTTTCTTTTCTTGTTTCCTAAATCCTGAATCCTGAGGCAGCACCTGAATCCTGAGCAGCACCTGAATCCTGAATGTGCGAGGCAAGGCAGCACCTGAATCCTTGTTTCCTTGTGTTTCCTTCTTTTCTTTTCAAATGGTTTTCAAATGGGAAACACAAGGAAACATTCTGTGAAAGGTTACAGTCATACTTGATACCATTGCATGCAATTTCTTACTACATGCATGTCATGCCATGTAGGTGGTTGTGAGGATTTTTGAGGCGCCTCAAAAGTCGCCTCAAAAGTCTTTTGAGGCGCCTCAAAAGTACTACATGCATGGCATGCCATGTAGGTGGTTGTGAGGATGACCTTGTAACCGCGACAGACTCACCATATGCCATCACATGCGAGAACGATAAATTCGTCTTTCTCCGTCAGATCAACCTGTGGCGATAGAACGGGGGGGAGGGGGAGGGCGTTGCAAGGCACAGATATAGAGGGGGGTTGGAACCCTGCAAGATGCAGGTGTGGTAACTGCACTGCTCTGTTACAGCAATCACCACCTGCTTCCCTTGAGTCAATATTTCTTGTCTGTCTTGTTGTGCTAGATTTAACTCAACATGGGTATACAAGTCTTGACCGAAATGACATAAGCAGCTGGCCTGGCAGGGCCTTACAGATTTGACTTCAGGCAGCGCAGTGACTGCTTGCTTTTCTGGGGGTAGATCGGACCTGTGCTTGTACTCCATGTCCCCTGCTCACATTCACAGTCACACAGACATGCACACACACGCATGCACGACCAGAGTGAAATATGTGCTGACTTTCGCAAGGGCGACGGGGGGATGTGGGAGTGAAGGAGGGGAGGGGGGGGGCAAGCTGGAGGGCTGTTCATACCTAGGGCGCGGGAGAGGTTCAGGCAGCCATTATTATTTTGAGACGTCTCAAAACATTATTATCTGTCCATCAACACGAGCTTAGAACCTACTCTATCCTCCTCCGCTCCTCCGTCAGAGTAGCTTTATGGTCTTGTGATATCTCCTACGATGTGATTTTTGTGTTGACTCTTACAAAGGGGGATAGACGGCTACGACGAAAGGGTTACGCGAGGGAGGGGGGTTGGGGGCCGGGTGGGAGGGGGGTTGGGTGCCAAGGGAAGTGTTGCTTACCTAGAGCACGAGAGAGGTTGAGGCAGCCGTCTATCCGTCCATCTGAGACGAATTTCCCCGCCTGGTCAATTCTCCTCCTCTCCTCCGGCATGGTGGGCTTGTGGTCTCGCAACATCTCCACCGCCTCGCCTCCGCAGCTCACCACATACACACACTGTGCAGGGCGGAAAAAGGCGGAGCAGCTTACCTAGAGCACGAGAGAGGTTGAGGCAGCCGTCGATCCGTCCATCTGACACGAATTTCCCCGCCTGCTCTATCCGCCTGCGCTCCTCCGGCATGGTGGGCTTGTGGTCTCGAGACATCTCCACCGCCTCTCCCCCCCGGCCCACCACACACCGCGAGTCGCCCGCATTCGCCACCACCAGCTGCTGGCCTGCTACCACCGCTACCACTGCTGTGCACCCTGCCTCGGGGCCACGATAGGCCTTTTGAGGTGTCGCTGCCCCTGTTTTGACCATGAAGATTGGCTGGTGGGCGCACATGGAGGGGGGGTGGGGGGGATTGGAAAGGTACACCACACACAAGGTGGGGGGATGGAGAAGGGGAGGGGCTTGAGGTCTCGAGACATCTCCACTGTCTCTCCCCCCCGGCCCACCACACACCGCGAGTCGCCCGCATTCGCCACCACCAGCTGCTGGCCTGCTACCACCGCTACCACTGCTGTGCACCCTGCCTCGGGGCCACGATAGGCCTTTTGAGGTGTCGCTGCCCCTGTTTTGACCATGAAGATTGGCTGGTGGGCGCACATGGAGGGGGGGTGGGGGGGATTGGAAAGGTACACCACACACAAGGTGGGGGGATGGAGAAGGGGAGGGGCTTGAGGTCTCGCGACATCTCCACTGTCTCTCCCCCCCGGCTCACCACACACCGCCTCGCCTCCCCGGCCCACCACACACCGCGAGTCGCCAGCATTCGCCACCACCGGCTGCCTCCCCGCCACCACTGCTACCACTGCTGTGCACCCGGCCTCTGGTCCCCGGTAGGCCTTTTGGGGTGTCGATGTCCCTCTTTTGACCTTGAAGATTGGCTGATTGGCAATTGTGGGGAGGGATTGGGTGGGGGGATCGGGAAGGTATGGGATGGAGAAGCAGGGGCTTGGGAGTTATCACACACCGCCTCGCCTCCCTGGCCCACCACACACCGCGAGTCGCCCGCATTCGCCACCACCAGCTGCCTCCCCGCCACCACTGCTACCACTGCTGTGCACCCGGCCTCGGGTCCCCGGTAGGCTTTTTGGGGTGTCGATGTCCCTCTTTTGACCATGAAGATTGGCTGATTGGCATTTTTGCGGGGGCGTTGGGTGGGGGGATCGGGAAGGTATGGGATGGAGAAGCAGGGGCTTGGGGTTTATCACACACCGCCTCGCCTCCCTGGGATGGACACACCACCTCGCCTCCCCGGCCCACCACACACCGCGAGTCGCCCGCATTCGCCACCGCCAGCTGCTGTCCTGGTATCACTGCTACTACCGCCATGCACCCGGCTTCGAGTCCCCGGTAGGCCTTTTGGGGTGTCGATGTCCCTCTTTTGACCGTGAAAATTGGCTGGTGGGCGTGCGTAGAGGGGATTTGGGGATGTGGATGGGGTTTGAGAATTCTCAAAAATACTCTTCTTGGCCGGTGGGCGTGCGTAGAGGGGGCGTGGGGATGTGGATGGGGTTTGAGAGAGCATGGGAAGAATTGCTATTCAGAGTGAGCAGGGGAGGGCATGGTATGATACATCAAGGAACCTGTATGCACCAGTACACACTACCATGCACTACCACACACTACCACACACTACCACACACCACACACTACCACACACTACCAAGCATTACCAAGCACTACCACGCACTACTACCACACACACCTTTGATCCCTCATCGTCCTCCTCATCCTCTCCCTCCAACTCCTCACCTCCAGCCCCCTCCCGCCCCTCCGCTCCTTGCTGCGCTACCATCTCAGTGTCACCCTCCCCCTCCTCTCCCCCCTTCCCCTCATCGCCCTGCACTTTCGTTCTCCCTTTCTTCTCACTCTCCTCTCCCTCCCCCTCCTCTCCACCTTTAACCCTTTTTGTCTCCCCCACTCCCCTCCCTCCCTCATCCCCCTTCTCCTTCCCTCCTCCATCTCCTCCCTTGCTCTTCAACCGTCCTTTACCCTTTGCTACTCTGCCTCCATCCCTGCCTTTCTGCCCCTCCTTCCCCTCCTCCCCTTTCCCTCCATCCTTCTCCTCCTTCTCCTTCTCTTCTTTCGCTCGCCTAACAACATCAGCAAGAAACATCTTGATGAGGCTAGACGATAGCGAAGACGAATGCACGCGCGCCCTCGCCCCTCCCCCCTTCCGCTCGCCCTCCCGCTTCCTCTTGTTCGCTTTCTTCTTCTTCTTACGCCCACCACTCTCACCATTCTCCTCACCGCCCTCCACCTTCTCTCCACCACTCTCCACCTTCTCTCCACCATTCTCAACCTTCTCTCCACTACTCTCAACTTTTACTGCACCACTCTCCCCCTCCTTCTCCATCCCCTTCCCTTTGCCGCTCTCCTCTTCATCTGCAGATGCGCCCTTCCCCTGTGCCCCTAACGCGCTCGTGCTTCTCCTGGGTTTTGATTTCCGCTTCGCACGGCTTCTCCCTCCCTGCTCCTTCTCCCCCCCCTGCTTCTCTCCCTGCTCCTCCCCCCGCTCCTTCTCCCCCCCCTGCTTCTCCCCTTGCTCCGCCCCCCCCTCATTCTCCCCCCCCTGCTCCACACCTTTGCATCCAACAGTTTCATTTGCTCCACCCACCGCGCCACCCTGTATTCTTTCTAACCCCTTATCCTCTGCTGCTTCCGCTGCATCTGCCCTGCCCTTAGGCCCCTCTCCTACCACCTCCCCACCACTATCCGCCTCTTCCCCTTCCTCATCCTCCTCATCCTCTTCTTCTTCTTCCTCATCCTCCTCAACCTCCTCCCCCTCCTCCTCTTCCTCCTCCTCTTCCTCCTCTTCCTCCTCATCTTCCCCTTCTTCCTCTTCCCCCTCTTCCCCCTCTTCCTCCTCCTCCTCTTCCTCCTCCTCCTCACCAGCCCCAAACACAGAGGCAACGAGCGCGCTGCGTTCGCCCTCGCCTCGGCGCGCTTCACGCTCCTCCTGCCGCAGCCGCGCGTCCTCGCTCTCCTTGCCCTCGCTCGCCAGCTGCTGCAGCTCCGCCCGGTGCTCCTCCCGCGCCATCATCTCGTCCATCCTGCAGAGGGAAAAAAAAAATCCAATATTCATGTATGTAGTTGCATTTGTATACATATGTATGAAGAAATATTGAAGGAAGAAACATGCAGCTGCTGCAGCTCCGCCCGGTGCTCCTCCCGCGCCATCATCTCGTCCATCCTGCAGAGGGAAAAACAATTCCAACACATATGCGTATCAATGCATGTATAAGAAGAAAATACAAACGACAAAACGTGCAGCTGCTGCAGCTCCGTCCGGTGCTCCTCCCGTGCCATCATCTCGTCCATCCTGGGAAGAAAAGGGAAATATGTACGAATGTATGTTCACATACGTTTATATGTATGCATCAGAATAAATGGAACGGAAATCGTGCGGCTCCTCAGCCAGCAGCACCGCCAACTTAAATTTCAAATACTATTATTTAAGGGGGGAAGCATTTGAAAGTAAAAAACAGCCATAGTAAAGTCAGCACCGCATTTCATGGGAAAGAGACGGAAACAGAAGCATCAAAAGAAGAAGAAAAAAAACACTGCGCACCTGAAGAAGGTGGATATGAGGGCCTTGGGAATATCCCCCGGGTTGGACTCGAGAGCCGTTGCGAGCTGTGCTGGTAGGTGCCGCCCACAGAAGGCTGCCACCTCGCTGCCTGCGCGGGAAAAGAGGGTCAAATAACTGTGCGACCTGCCATAAGAACGTGGTACGTCGATGCTAAAGAAAAGGAGATGGAGGTGTGTCCGCGAGAGATACGACGGAATCAAAACTAGGGCGTCTTGTTACACATGAACGGGCATAGGGATGCACGAGCTCACCCCCGTGACCGTCGAAGACGGCGAAAACCTCTGGTCGTCCATCCCCGTTAGTGTCCAGCACCGCGGCGTGCTGCGAAAATGGGTAACCGCGGGAACGAAAACGAATCCAGTTGTGCTCTTTTAAAACGGGTAAGCAACATGAATGAACGAGAGCGACGAAGAGTTGCTGGCAAAACGACACTTACGGCGTCCTCCATTGTCATTCGCCAGCCTTGCATTGACGCCGCTGCATACCGTATGCGATCATCCTCGCCATTCTCCGACTCCTTATCCGTTATGGGATGCGTCAAGTACGCCCCCATCCTGAACTCGAAATCGTCAACCTCTCAACAGTAAGACAGCGACGATTTTACATCTGAGACATCGAGTTCACTATGCGCCAAGCAGGCATGTTTCCATGATGTCGGGTATGTCTATCGTCAGAAAGACAATTCTAAGGTGTAGGACCATCACTGAGCCCACTCACAATGAGGAGCAGCCTGGAACTTGCAGCACGAGGAGCTAAGGAAATGGCAGGGCGTATTTAGCCTGTGTTGTGACCCTGACGTTTTACATACAAGCAGCACTTTCAGTCTCCCTGTTACTCAACATTGTTGTGTAACAGCATCTTCAGCGTGAAATTTGACCGTTAGATCCTTGTTACTCCCAGGGAATAAGAAGCGGATGTTCTGAGATGAATGGCTTTGAGTCCCCCGAACAGGGCTCGACCTTGAGCTCTATTTGAAGTTTTGAATTCAAGGCACCAGTCGCCACCTGCCAGGTGGCGTCAGTCAATGGGTGGTGTCCGATGACGGTGTTTCAGGAGAGGGGGAAGAAGGGAGACGGATTGGGTTGGTCGCAAGGTCAGGGCGAAAAATATCTACAGTTGGACCACCACGTGTGGACAGCCACGGAAAGCTGTTCTCGACAGCGCGGGCATGCAGCCCGCGTGGAAAAAAAAACAAGAGGCGACGGAAGTCGTCGTAGGGTTGCGAAGCTTTTTCAAATTGGAAAAACAATCGCCAAAGTTCTTGGTAGGGTGATGTCCAAGAGATTCGAACCTAAAACCATTCGGATCTTAGTCGACATTCAATCGACTGCTATGAAGTATCAATGCTATGAAGTTTGCATTCCCTAGGGTTTCATTTCTTCCCTTTTTTTCTCGCTGCTTCCTCTCCCCAGCAGCAGACGCTAGTTCTTGCTTGTCTTCTCTCCTAGACACACTGGTATGTTCGTTTTTTCCCTAGATTGCATCTTCGTCAGCTCAAGTATATAGTTGTCGCGATATAGTTCCCTTCAATTTCGTTTTCCAGCTATGACACTTTTTGGTTTTCTGGTCGTTATTTCGTTTTCTCAACTTTGATTTCCACCTCATTGCTCAGTAACGTAGCCGTTTTCCTTATTCCTTTCTCTTCCGTTTTTACTCGTCGTAGTTTTCGTGCATACTCTTTTTTCTACATTTTCTCGTTCTCGTTCTCTCTCTCTCTCTCTCTCTCTCTCTCTCTCTCTCTCTCTCTCTC